CATGTACATGTACCAAAGAATGAACGATTGTCTTGTTGCTAGACAATAATCGAATACACACCGGTAGAGAAGGTAGTCGTCACAAACAACAGTATTGTCCTGTATCTTCTACATTTATTTAATTTTCTGCCAATCCTACAATTGAAAGAAACTCTGTATAGGTGTGCTCTAGTATATACATGTACTAGATAGCTGATAGAAAAAATATCAACATAATTTCACAAAAATACAAGTCCACTCACAATACAATACAAAACATGACACCATGTCTGTGACAAAAAAAAAAAACACAGATACAGAGTTTCCAAAAAAAAAAGACAGTGTTGTTTACAAATAGACGCACACTCTCTGCTGTCAGTGCAACAATCAATTAATAGGCTCTTGCAAAATATATCTTCAAGCTTATCATTCAGAGAAGGCTGAACTGAAAGTCGAATGTTTCGAACTGGAAAAATAAGTCAGTTTCTCAGAGAAAGATCTGTAACCCAAAAAAGGAAGAGTTCTCTCAAAAAGACAAGTTCAGACACACGGTTGAACTCACATAAGGAAGAATGTCCTGATATTTGCGACAGAGGGGAGAAAAGTATCAGTTTAGTGTGTGCAATAATTAGTAAATATAGTACCAAACACATTGTAATGTTGATTAAGAAATAGACTCTTTTATGCTACCAAGTGTTTTATTACTGCCGATGTTTCAGTGACTGTCTATCAACTTCCTCTGGTTCACATTGCAGAGCATACATGTACACGTGGGTGTCACTGCTATAGTATAGATGCCGCTATAGCCTATGCTGTGTAATGTGAACTAGTCAGAATTGCCCTGAGGAAGGTGACAGACATACAGTCACCGAGACATCGGCTAAACAAAACACTTGGTTGCATAGAAAGAGTCTCTTTATTCAGTGACTTACCAACCTGATGAAACTATCAATACACTGTATCATCATTCACTGTTTTATACATGTAGCTATCAGACATTTCATGGCTAATAGTCAGACATACATGTAATAGTACCAGCAGACTTTCTATTACTCTCAGTCGTATCTAATGAATACACTGAATAAAAAGGCGAGGTAAAGTGCATTGTTCAAGGTATCAGTTGGATGACTTCTTCGACTGAGTTGCTAGTCATGCTAGCCTAATGAAGTACTGAACACTCCCATGGAAGAAAAAACATTACAGTACATCTGTAGGACGCTAGAATTGGTCAGACTTACAGCGAGTTTCCCGACGGCACGGTTCATCTTCTCGTAACCGAGGTGATACATGAAGGGCACCACGGCACCCTGGGCGTTCTTGCGTACGTCGGCGTTGCGGTCCTCCAGCGAGGCGTACAACATGGGCAGACAGTTGACCAGGTCAGGAGGGCAGGTCTTCACTGTCATCAGTTTTTCTGCCAGCCAACCAAACAACTGTACACATGTGGGGAGAAACATTCACGTTTTACACAGCAGATGGAGATAGCTACAACAACTGTAGCCTAAGTATACACAGAAAACAGTTGCTCAAGCAACTGGATAGAAAGTTGGAAGTTGGTTGCATTTATAACTATTTTCTGACATTACCTGGATGTCTAACCTTCACCAAAGGTAGCTACATGTAGTATAATTTGAGGTGCCATTTTGCTTTACTTTGGATGTGTGCACCACCTAGCAATTCACAAGGATACTGCACAAGGTACTTTTGAAGAAGGTCGAACCAATGACTGATGAGGAAAATGCTAATTTTTTATCTTAATTATATAATAAGTTTTCACCAATTTTTGACATTACAAGCAGAATATTGCTCTTCGTGCAAATTAATATTTTTGGTTGATATTTCATAAATATTTAGACTAAAAGAAGATCAGGTGCTCTACCAGAGACAATACCAGAACTAGGCCCTTCTTACGACACTAGACAGTCTCACCTCGATCTTGAGCATGGGTGAGGTTGAGCGGAGTGCGTCTGACATCATCTCGTTCTCCATGAACGGTGTGACGCCAGTCTGCTCCACAACGGCGTTCAGCGCCGCCAGTCCTGCCTGGCGCACATGTTCCTGAGAACGCATCAGAAAAACAAACCGTTATTCAATTATAATAGACTGGGTTGAGCTGTAAGAAAACAGAGCTGTGGGCTTTAGTTAAAATGATCAACAAATATACGTATGATACATTATCAATTATGAGTAAAATTATGATTTAATCAGATTATTTTCTAGACACAAAAATCATTTTGCAATGAAGATATTCATTGGAGGTATAAAAACACTGGTGAGATACCTTGCTATCTCCCAACGTCTGTAGGATACCAGGGCCAATGACACTGACGTGCTGCCGAATGTTTGGTCCCATCGCCGTGGCGATAGTTGTGCAGATAGTCAAGGTGTTCATGACCTGTAACGTACATGTACAATACAGGATACAGTTTAGCAACGTCAGAAACTTCTTAACCCTTAAGCTGCCGGTCCCGGGTATATCCGGGTTCACTATACATCCCCTGTGTGCCATGCCCGGGTATATTCGGGATAGGGTATTCCCCGGGATAACTTAGCACAGCTGCATGTTTCGCGCCCGCCGACCAGGAAGTGACTGGCGGCGGTAAGTGAGGGCAGGTCAGAGGTCAAAGTGGGTTGCGTAATCACCGATTACGTCATCCCACAATGCTTTGCGGCCTATAATTGCCAAGATGGCGGCGGCGTCGTCTGCCGAGGCTTTGTTCTTTTGTTTACGTGTTTTGGGCGGTGAATTTGGACTGTTAACACCAAAATGACGACGTTTACCCTCGAAGAACTGTTGTAGGAGGTCGCTACTGTTGATTTAGCCTATGGTTGACGTATATCTGACGCTGATTCCATTGAGAGTAGTGAAAATGAGACGGATCGTGTTAGCAGACGGGAGGGAATGTGCTCACATGGAACCAGATAGCATTGGTGAATGTGACATCGGCCATGGAACTACTAATGGCCGTGGTCGTGCTAGGGGTAGAGGTCGGGGCCGAGGTCGGGGGTGTGGAAAAAGGCCAAACAACAAGGGAACGTGGCACTGACAGGCGAGGTTGCAGCCGGCCAGCTGATGGGGATTTAAATCCCGGAGCCGCCCATCAAGCTGCAACTGATACAAGATTTGATGGCACAAACTGGCAGAGGGTGGATGGAAACAGCCTGACCAAGTCTCCCCATGTTTTCACTGCACAAAGTGGATTTAGTGGCATGTTTTATTTCTATTTTATAGCAGCTTTTATGTAAAATTTTCCATGGTATAAAGTATAATATTATCTTTTTATTGCTTTTTACCTGTTTATTGCCTTTGTAGTTTATATTGTCAAGTTGAAATATATTCCTAGACATAGTATATACAATAAGCTTTCATATGATATGTAACAAGTATATATACCATTGATCACATAGGTACAGGAAGGAATGTATTATGCTGTATACATTAGTTGGTTCAGCACCAAGGACAATATCCATCATAAACTTACCTGTAATGATACCTGAGTGCTGTATGATTACGTCTATGTGATTCTCATAGTGTCAGGACATGTCAGGATCTGTTAAGTCAAGGCCCAAGTCATTCTGTGGTTGCATATTGTTGATTGTATGGAAACAAGGTGGAAATTGTGCATTTTATTGCCTCTTTACCTGTTTATGACCCTTGTAGTCTATGTTATCAAGTTGATATACATTTCTAGTTATAGTATCTACTATATGTTTTCATATGATATATAACAAGTCTATGTACCATCTTTTATAAGGGTACAGAAAGAAGTGAAATATGTTGTAATGGATCAGTGTTTTAGCTGAATAGTCAGTTCAGCACCTAGGACAATATCTGATCATAAACTTACCTGTAGTGACACCTGAGTGCTGTATTTTACGTGTATGTGATTCTCATAGTGTCAGGACATGTCAGGAATGTTATAGGTTTCATACTTATACTTTTTATATAGTTTAGGCATTGTAATACAAAAAAAACTATGAAAACAGCTATTTTATTGCATTATTGCCCTTGTAATTCATTACTATTGATGTCAGGCTACATTTGAAATATTTTTCTGTAAAGTACACATTCTTAGCTTTCCAATGATATCTGGCATGATATGGTAAGTTGAGGGGAAAATGACAAAAAGACAGTAATACAAAGGTAGTACCCCCTATTTCAAAAGGGTCTGGAAACCCTGGCACAGAGGGGATGTATTGGTGAGAAACACTGGCAGCTAAAGGGTTAATGTTTGTAGATACCAACACTCAGAAAATACAAGAAACTGCAATTAATGTGCTTGAAAAAGACCAAAATTACATTGTAAAACAAGTAGCACTAAGAAGTCGTCAGGCAACATCATTTCAACTCATTCACTGTCTAGCAATTCTCACAAGTTAAATTTGTATACTACGTCTAGTATTAACCAAAACCTGCAGTTTGTGCACAAGTTGCTAGGAGGCAGTGCTGCTCACCAGTATTTTGTTGGAATCTCCAAGCCTGGCCTTTAGTGCACTAGGCAGGTCTCCAAGGCTAGGGGTGATGAACTTGGCTTCCTCCAAAATGGCAGATACCTGACAATGATACAGTATACAAGGTAAAACACCAACAAAAATTGAATTGGTAACATTTTACTGCACTTTTCACTGCTTAACAAATAGTAGTATTACTGCTTATACTACATGGTTGTAATTACCTTCACCAAAAAGCAAGAAGGTTAATATGTTTTCAGTGCAGCGTTTGTCCGTCTATCCGTTTGTCTGTTTGTGAAAAGCATAACTCGAGATGCTTAATATGCATTGTCATGAAACTTGGTAGGTGGGTAGGTCTTGATGAGACCTAGAAATGATTAGATTTTGGGCCCCCTGGTGGCTTTTGTTGGTACTGCAGCAGACTCACCTTTTCCAGAGCTTCTTTTCTAACCTTCCAGTTCTTGTCTCCAAGCTCGTTCATGAGTTCTGGTCTCATCCGTTCACTGCAGAGAGAAAAAGAGACATCAGTTTTCAAGAACTTCTTATCCCTTCTTTGCAGATCCTTTAAGACAACACAGCTCATCCTCCTCTGTAAGTAAGGAAACACATGCGATATGTGATAGACCGAGAACACAGTCACTACCACAGATAACACTGGGTTAGATGGGCTGAAAGGGAAAGGGGTCACCAGTGTATAAGTAAGGATGGGTTACAGACAATTACTGTTACAGTACTAGTTTACAATGTACATGTATGTACAACTAGTGAAATGGTAACTAAGACCACTAAGTCACAGTAAAATGGGTACTGAAAGTAAGGTACTGCAATCACTTTCTGACTTTCAGTAGTAAAAAAACAGTCCTTGACAGCTAGAAACTGAGAGAAACAGAGTTGTTTTATAAATGCCAACTAATCCAGTGTTTTACAAACAAGGCAAGACCACTGTAAAATGACAATAAAATCAATGCAATAACAACTGAAAGTTTGAAGAATAACGTTTGAACTTTCAGGAAAATTAGATGTTTTCCCGACTTCTGGAAACCTACACTTCCAGAATACCATTTTTTTCACAGAAGACTGCAGTTCCTAATTTCATACCTGACACACACACTGAAGGATACATGTATGTGCTGTATCTCTACTTGTTGTGTGTTAAATTGTTTGAACACAATGATACAACCACACAGGATAATGTCAACTAGGTGATCTTAGTAATACAGAGTGATGACAACATGGGGACAGCACCACTCTAAAACTACAGGAGGAGAGAGAAAAGTTGGGTGACTCAGGTGACGTAAGGGGAGAGAAGAGAATTTGCACACCACGTGCACTGAGGTTTGACATGGTACCAACTTACACGAAGGAGGCCGAGCGCGCCATACGCAGGCTAAGTACATGGAGAGGCAACATTAGTATTAGTCCTCACACACAAACGACTGGTGGAGGGGGCAGAGAACAGTTGCAGGGGGGGGGGGATTTGAATGGAACACCAAAGAAACTGGCATTCACTTGACTGTTTCACTCTTAAAATGAACAGATCTGGGGATGACTTGGCAGCGAAGATATTGGAAATATCTTGTGATTTGATGATTTTGTTTTGTTCAGCAGGAAAACTATGGCCCAAAAATGATTGTACAGGAGAGTTTCATTTAAAAAGTTGCCTCTTGCTAGTTTTAGTGGCAACAGATGACTTAATCATGACAATTGTCATGGTCTTACTTAAAAAAAAACATACATGTATTTCTTTTAACTACTGGGCATTTAGCAGACACAACCAGTCGTCCATGGTGTCAAATAAACCTTGTTGCATGACATTGAGTGCAGCATCAATATAGCGTTTGAATGTCATTAATGTATATAGGACATTGGATGAAAAGCATGGTAAACCATTACCAAGTACTGTTAGGCAACAGCACTTTCTTACTGTTGGTTACATGCAGTACTTAGCAAATATTACAAATAACTTCCAGTTGCATTTGCAGCCATATTATAGGTGCAGAAACTTGCACTGCAGTTGTATGATAGAATGCATGACTTTGTGCAATGTACGTAACATTACAGGCGTTCTTGAAGCACTGCATATACTGCAACAACATTTCAAGCAGAGAGGAGTGTGCATTTCCTTTTCAAATGCAGTCTCTGAACCTGAATATCATAAGCAGCCTGTTATGAATAGAACAAATATTAATCAGCAATCTTTGTTAAGAGACAACCACACTTCCTCAATATTATACACTGTAGTAATTTGTACATGTTGTAATACATGTACAGGAACACAAAAGTGTGGAAGCATCACAACATTGAGAGCAGCGTAACATAAGGACAATATAATGCAATGCATACATGTGTACATAATGATTTGAAGAACAATGCCTCAAGACCAAGCAGAGAGGTTGTTCTACAACATGTCCATCCCACCTGACATCTGTCCTGGGTACCAGGTCCTCTATGTTGATGGCAGCAGCCTGATCCTCCTCCTCCTCCCCCTCTTCTTCTCCACCCTCTTCCCCCTCTGACCGCTTCCGCACCCCCCTGGTGGGGGCAGGGGGCTTCTCTCCAGACATCTGAGGGGGATAAAAGGATTCTTGTGAGTTAATACTCATATTTCCAAGTGCTGAAAGTCTGTTAAAAAGTTAGCAAAGCCTAGGAAAATTAATGTTGTGTTTCCAGTTTCAGTCCTGAAAAAAATATGGCCAGTGCGTTAGGGGATTCTCTTATTTTACTTAATGTTATTTTTAAGATTTTAGCTAAAGCAATCCAACAAATAAAGTTTAACAATGCATCAGGACTGTCTCAAGGATCTGTCCACCTTGCGGACAAATATTTCTCCCGATTTACTGAAGAAAAAATTGCTTCTGGAAATGTGTTAAATAACATTTCAGACTTCAGAGGGTTCAAAATTCAGATTAAAAATTTCATACCTTTACCAGCGGAAGATGGAAACTGGAAACACAACATTTTTCTTCCTAGGCCCAAGGAGAGGGCCCCAATCAAACACGTGCATAATAAACATATTATCTGCAAATGATAATTGCCCACCTTTTCTATCTCAGCGTCAATCTGCTGTAGAAGAGCGGGCTTCTCGTCCTCGAAGAAGACGCGGAGCTGTGCGCCCATGTACATGGACAACACACCGATCAGGTTGATGCCTGCCGTGCGAATGGCCTGTACACGTGGAACACAAGACAAAATCATCAGCACAATTATCTTACTAGATCAAGCCTACTATCTGGTGTTGTTTGCTTAATAAATATTATCTATAACAAACACAAAAAACATCAATCATTGCAAGTCTTTTTAAAGACCATAGCTAAATAAGTTGTTATAAAGTAAGTACTTTTCATAGAAAACTTACTGGATTAGTTGCAGCTAGGGCAGTCTTCATATGTTGGATAAATGGCTTCACAGAAACCCTGGAAAAAAGAAATATACATTACTTCCTATAGCATCCTTCACAATATATTTCCTAAAAAATGCAAGTATTGTGTACAATCAGTGTACATTTTAAAGACAAATTCATTTTATAATATTTATAACTTTCAGATTAGCAAAAACAATACTGTAGGCACTGTTTTGACATTCAGCATTCTTTCTCGAAAAAAGGCTGTTGAGTGTACATGTAAACTTCCATGCGACTTACTTTAGACCAAACTCTTTTATAGCCTCATTCAGCCAGTTGAGGATCTCAGCCTGGTTCTTTGGGTTCTTCTGCTTGAAGGCCAACTCTACTCCCTGTATCACAGTGTATGATAGCAGAAATATACATTATAACATGAAGTAACAATTTGTAAACTGTAAGACTTAGTATTACTTTAACTCTTGTTGGAAGACAACAGCAACTGTATAAAACACTTTGAAGTAAAAGGACCAAGTGCTATAAATAGTGACATAGACAGAGAGTCATCGTACAAAAATGAATTTTAAAATCTGATAAGATTTGTTGACATTTGTACTCGGTCGTAGATGATTTTTCCACTGCACAATTTTTCAACAAACCTTTCCCAATTCATGCTACTTCATTGGAACAAACTACTTCAAAACAATTGCATGGACTTGTGTAGCTTCATTCTCCTCACCCCCTGGCTGACATAGTCCAATGTGGTGGCCTCGGCGAGTGCTGTCAGTGCCTCCTTGGCGACTGCCCCGCCCTTGATGTCTCCCACCTTCTCCGTCAGCCCTGTCAGACACACCTTAGCCACGCCCTGAGAAATCTTCCCGTTCTCCGCAACGTACTTAACCAGCTGGAACTTGGCAATCAGCACCTGGGAAAGAGAGGTTGTTAGCAACTACAAGTATTAAAACCAGACAGGATCTAAGATACATTATGTACAACATGAATGTAAGGCACATTAAACAGAAGATATTGGTGCTAAATATTACTACTGATTCTTTCCTTTTTTTTAGAAAGTTTTGACAATTCTTACGTGGAAATTTAGAATAAAAGCTAACAAAGGTTTTGACAATTCTTTCCTGGAAGTTTAGAATAAAAGAAGAATTACAAAGTTTTGGCAAATCTTACCTGACCTTTTAGAATAAAATCTAACAAAATTTTTTTTTACAATTTTTACTTGAAACTTTAGAATAAAATCTAACAAAAGTTTTGGCAAATTGAATTCTTATCTGAAAGTTAAGAATAAAATCCAACAATTATGTTTTGACAATTCTTACCTGAAAGTTTAGAATAAAATCTAACGAAGGTTTTGACAATTCTTACCTGGAAGTTGTTCTCCTTCCATCCCTTCTTGGCCACAGTTTTGATGATGACCTGACAGGGAAGTGTCTTTGGCTCCATGGTCTTCACAGCCTGTGAGGACACATGTGCATGCACTTCAGTCAAACGTCAATAGGTGGCACTTTTGACGCCCCAAAAATTACACATAGCACTTTCATGCAAACAACTACATTGGATATTGTAAGAAACAGGAGTAGCCAGTTAAAACCCTTCTGGTCCCGGGCCGGCGTTCGAACCCACAACCTCCTGGGCGCAAGTCAGACACTCTAACCGCTCGGCCAAAAAGGTCTAGACCCATCAGCCGGGTCAGTTGGTAGCGCCTATAAACCCCCCACTGTTAGTGTTACACTATGTCTAATATCCAGCTAGCATAAAAATTGCATTATGCATTCTTTCTGAATACTCCTTTTGTGCAAATAAAATGCACTGTATCAGTCTTTTCTTACTGATATGAAGTCTTTCGCAGATTCCAGTTAACATCTTATACTTCCTTACTCTCAATGTAAAGTGTTGAATTTATCACTGATTGACCACAATGTAAATCGCAGTCCTCTCACCTGTGAGAAGTCTTCCATCCCAGCCAGCCTCTCCTTCCAGTTAGCACTGTCCAGTTGCTTGAGAGTCTCTGCAGAGAACAGCTCAGCAGCTTTCTCTGCTACCTCCTCATCCTGAGGAAAAAAAAGACAGATCAGAATTTTCCCCTACGTATTTGGCTTTTAACAAATTAGGCCTGGAAAATTTGCATGAGGACACTCGTCTTTCATTTTCAAAATTTGTCAATGTTGGAAAACTACTATCCTTCATCACTCGAGTGTCAGATCATAGAGTTAGAAGAGATTGATCAGCTCGAAATGTTTGTCCTCTTCTCTTCTTATATTTTACTGGATAAGCTGTCATTTTATTACTTCCTTTTCTAGAGGCTTTATATGTGAAAATTGGCCTCAAAATGTTTTTTCCTTTGGTTACATTTCTAATACTCTACATGAAGTGCCAACTATTATGCTATATATTTGCATAAACACCTAATATATTAAAAATACAGATCTTTTCACAGATATTTAGACATAAATTAAATGTTGTGAGTACTTACAGACAGTGCAGTCTCCTGGAACTCAGGTTTGTCGGACACAGAAGACGCCGCTCCTTTCTTCCCCTTTGCCTTGCCAGCCCCGCCCTTGGCCTTGGCTGGAGCTGTAGAAGGTCTCTGGGAAGCCGAAGCCTGAAAAAAAATCACAAAATCCTTTGACTTTTTTGTCCATTCAAACTCTACCATTCAAACTCTACAATTTAAAGGCATCCAAAGTAATTTCAAGGGTGGCAAAACAAAAATTCTCAAAGAGGAAATTTATCTTTGCCTTTTATTAAAGGCACCAGACTTTCTTCCCTCACCAGTTAATTTGATTTTGGTTGAGTGATTTACAAACATTATGATTTTCCTTACCAGTTAATATGATTTTGTTTGTTTTATGCTTGTGAGATAAGTTCCATTGATATGCAAATTCCTTTCGCTTTAACTTATTTATGTTTGGTTGGATTCTTTATGTTACCTTATGATTCATTGCACACTTGTATATAGTGATTATTTTCTTCTTATTTATTATTGTATTTTATCCTCAGTTACTTTGTTTGTATTTTACTATGTTGGGGTTTACCCCCCAGGTATCATTGAAAAACGCCGACAAGGCGATATGTATGACCTGGATAAATAAATAAATAAAATGAAATGAATCTCACATTGACATTTACTGCTATTTCTAATAATTTTGACATTTCATACTTTGGGATAGGACTGATTTAACTTTCTACATTGAAAGAATGACTAGAAAATTGACACTGAAAATCTAGTTTTGCCGCAAAGAAATTGCATTGGAATCATTGCCTTTAACAATAGCCCTAAGTGGCCAAAAAATATTCAAGAAGACTACATAATACATAACTGTCATTGTATTTATCAAAGATAAATCATGATAATTTGCTGTACCTTTGGTGGCCCACTGGATGACCCCTTTCTCCAGGCACTTGGGGGTCCTCCAGACTTCTTGGGGGGTTCTTTAGCTGCGGCAGGTTCCTTCTCCTTCGGTTTTGTCTTCTTTCCTCCCCCTATAATCTCTGCCTTTTCACTGTAGTCTTTGATCTTAAAGTGGCAAGAAAAATTCCGTAAGTAAATGCTTAAAACAAGTTTCTGAACTAAGTTTTTGGACCTGAATTCACACTGTGATTTTAAAGCAAAGATTGTACAGTACTAGAAAAGCAACTGAAGGATATTTTGAAGACTCAATTGTATTCTTCAGTATTTAGAAAAGATGATCCATCTATACCTTCCCCATCTTGATCTGATCCAGTTCAGCCAGGAAGGGTGCGATGGGTTTCTCCCCCACAACTCTCATGGCAGTCCCGATGGCTTCAAACGCAGCCTCGCGCACATCTGGTGCTGTGTCTCCTGTTCTCTGTACAAAACAGGAAGGAGCAAGAAATCATTAGAAGAAGAAATGAAGAGAAGCCAAACTTTTGAATGATTCCCAAATCTAGCTATTCGGCTACATTGATGATGTACAGCTACTTGAGAGTTGAAATGTCAAAAGAAGTAAGTTTATTAGAACATGGAGGTATTATACTTCTATGATTAGAAAAAATATGGTATTGTGACACGTGCATAGAATTTGACAAATCAGGGGGTTGGGGGGAACCTGAATGCTGATGCGCTACCTAGTTTTTGCCCTAGGTAGCACACTGTGCAACCTGGCTCAAAAAAGTCTTTCGAACACTGGTTCTTATACGAAATCTATTATTAAGCATCAAACATTGGAAATGAGGTTTTTTTATAGAATATAAAGAGCTAATGAACAGGTTTGACTTACAGAGACCAGACTTGCACACATGGGTTTGACTTACAGAGACCAGACTTGCACACATGGGTTTGACTTACAGAGACCAGACTAGCACACATGGGTTTGACTTACAGAGACCAGACTAGCACACATGGGTTTGACTTACAGAGACCAGACTTGCACACATGGGTTTGAGGACGGCCTTGGGGACCTGAGCCGGGGTGCAGCGCTTCAGACAGCGGGTCAGGAACAGGGCCGTCTCTGCCTTGATGGACGGGTTCTTGTTATCAAGTGCCGCCAGGTAATCCTCTGAGATGGCCTGGAGATTCGTCTGGGAGATAAACAGTCATCCAACAGATATAACTTCATCATGAGATTACAGTCTTAAACAATCAGTGTCAATAAGCAAAGCAAACAATCTTTTACTTCAGCAATCGTCTTAGGAAGCACCACACAAGCTTTTGTATCTACACCGGATTCCGTAAAGCCAGTATAACCACTCTTTGGTTCACAGGCACACAGCGCGGCAGCAGTTGGCAATATTACACCAAATGACCTGTTACAGCTAATCTTTGTTTATTTGGGCTATAAATTAGGCAACAAGCGTTTTAAATGTGCTTCAATGGTGTCCAATAAAGCTACAAGTCAGAAGAACACACAAACCTCACAATAAATTTGCTATTATTAGTGTCTATTTTACAGTCTAATGTAAAACAGCAAGTTTAATAATCACTGAACATTAATTACCTTATGATAAAGACATGCTATGAAAGGTTTTTCCATGATAATTATCTACCAGTAAAGCCTATTAAAATGCATCAATTGGAGGTCTATTCAAGTATATTCATGGTTTTCTAGTATAGGTTTGCTTACAGTCAGATAGATAGCATCGATGGCTTCTCTCAGGGACGTCACCACGTTGACCTTCTTCTCCTTGAACTTCTCCAGGATGACCTTGACACACTGCACGGCGTAGGGGGAGAACTTCTTGCGCAGACCGTTGGCAAGTCCCGTCATGCAGTTTCCAGCTACGGTCACCAGCATCACGTTGGAGTCTTTACCTACAGTCTAAGAGGGGAAATTAAAGATGTTCAAAACAGAATCCAGCTTTTTATTTCTAGCAGGGAGCTGTGCACCCAATTTTTTTCTGTGGGTACACCAGTGTACCTATTCCCAAAAATGAATTTTGAGCCCTGTCTACTGTCATTTCTAGTGAGTATTCTAGTATCAGTCAAAGACAAGCAGAAACTTATTGGTAAAATGAAACAAAATGTTGCAGTGTGCTTACACCATATCATATATAGATCCCATTTAAACTTAAAACTTTCAGTGTTTGAAGTTGGTATTTGAAGCAATGGTGTATTACTCTAAGACTTACAAAACATTATTCTGCAGTGTTTTGATTTCTCAGTGACTGTACAGTCTCTGTTATCAGACAAACCTTAATGAGAATCCTGACAATGTCTCCGTAGTCCCCAGCCTCTAGTTTTGGGTTGGATGTCAGCTTATGGAGGGCATCCAGAGCTTCCTTACGGATCTGCCACTTCTTGCTCTCCTGTAAAAAAAAAGAAAACGTCATGCAATGCATGTATGTTGTCATGCTTGTAAGTGTAACATGTAAAATATCAAAGGAACTTCAGATCATACTTTTTGACATTTATGGAAGTACTCATGGCAAATACAAAATACTGTATTTTTTTTAGTAACTTCATTCATGCATCTACGGTACATAGGTTGGCACCTATCTCCATTTCTATCTGTATCCCTTAGGCCACACAGTAGTGCAATCACAACAGCAAGGGGCTAGTCCACTAACTTGTAGTGGTGTGTGTTAATTGCCATACTCTTTCCCAAATGCTGAGTGCTAAGCAGAGAAAGCAGGGTGCACCAATTTTTTAAGTCTTCAGTATGCCTCGGTCAGGGATCAAACGTATACCAAATGCAAGTTGAACACTCTACCCGCTTGGCCATTGTACCAGCTTTCATAAAGTTTAACATAATTTCATGATTTTTTTCAATATGGAAGAATGAACTTGTCCTAACTCACCATACTCTCCTGGAAGTCCTTAGGAATCTTGGACAGGATTTCTACTGGATCTAACAGTTCATACGGGTCGATCTCAGCTTGTGCCTGGTTATCATCATCATCACCTGGAAAATATAGCAACAAAAACATCAACGATAATAAAAAAAACAGGAGTGTGATATATACATAATTGTCGTAAAGTAGAAAAAAAAAACAGTTACAGGGAATAGTATCTACAACACCATCCCAAATGTACGGGGTTTTTGAACATTTCAAAATAGCACATCACTTTTCCCTTAGACATAAGATATAAAAGTAACTTGAGTCACAAAGACAGAGCCAACCTTCATCTTCCTCCTCCTCCCCATTTTCCTCAGCCTCCATCTTGGCCTTGAGGTCCTGTTGGGAGCGCAGGAACCTAGTCTGGCGAGCAGGCTTCTTAGGCAGCTTCTCCCACTCCTCCTCCAGCTCCTTCATCTGTAAAACATACAACTTTTTAGTGTGCAGTAATGACACCTAGCAGCTTAACTGGGTACTGCAAGCAACTTCAAGTTTAGTTTTTTCCACCACTCCCTTCACAGGGACTCCCCTGCCCCTTCCACTCTCCACATGTGACAATCAATCAATCAATCAATCAATCAATCAAGCCGCAGGCATCAGAGTAGATGCATAGCGATGTGACAATCACTACTAAATAACGACTGTTGGAACTTCCCAAAATCAAAAACATTTTATACGGCACATAAAGAAAATTTACTAACACTAGTTAACAGTCTGAGAGCAATAAATTATTTTCATTTTGCGTATTTGTTTCCCTTGATTATCTTGCATGATATCTACAGTAAGATGTCTGCTTATAAAATAAAGTATGGTTAATTTTTGCTTCTTTGTCTGCAACACGCCCCCTCCTCCTGCTCTAAGTGCAAAATTGCACATTCAAAATATTTTGCAAAAGTGCAAATCTTAAAAATCATGACTTGTACACAAAAACATGGATATTTTGAGCCCTGTTGAGTACACATGTATGGGACGTACCACTACAGGTTTGACCCCCTGCAGAGCAGTGGTAAAGGCCGGACCGATCCATCTGTAGATCTCCAGACTCAGCTGTTTGGCCTCCTCTCGCACAGCCTTGTCCTTGTGCTCCAGGAGTGGGGGGAGGGTCTTCACCACAGGTTTGATGGGCATGATTTTATTACCATAGCATCTGGAATAAAGATGGGGAACTTTATGAATGTTTCGTCCCAAGAAGCTAATTTTTTTTCATGTTTACCTTCGCGGAAGGAAAACATTTTGTTTTTGCTGTTTCTTCTTCCTCTTCTTCTCCAAACAAATAAGGTCAATGACCTGAACTAGACATTTGTCACCAAGGTGACTAGTGTTGGGTTACATCATGTTGCAGGAGGGATTTAGACTCCTGTCACCATATATATGAATGTGTTTGAGTAAGATTCAGCAGAGCAGACCATATGCGAAGGTAGACATCATGCATTTGCTTTCAAATTTGCAAATGTTACCTTTCCAGTTTCCTAAAAATACTCTTCCTATCCAAGGATTCAAAATAAAACAGGACCATTCTAAAGAAACATGACTATAGCTTTACATCATTTTTTTTCTATTTTAAACCTGAATGCTACAATTAACAAAACAAGCAAGAAAACAAAAACAAAGGAAAGCATAATAGGCAGTTCCATCTCTCCCCTTACCTTAGACCCTCTGTAAGAACTTGTATGCAGGCTGCTACCACCTTGGGTTGTTTGTTGGTAAAACCCTTCATGATCTCTTCCTGTAAGACAATGCATTCTCACAATATTCACACTGTACATACAACACAAAGCTTAATAAAAATTTATTTACTTTCAATTTTAGAAAACTTCTTTTTGAGGAACATGTTTGTCATTTTACGAAAATTGTGTTTTTTTCACTTGACTTCTACAGGATATTAGGAGGAAGACCACAGATTATTCTATAGCTGAAGAGATCTAAATGTTAAGTGGAATTTTTATCTTAATATCAACAGAAATATAAACTATGCCCACCTGGACTATGTCTTGTCTCTCTATCTCTATGTACATCATACAGATTTCTACACCCTTTTCCTTTGTCTTTGGTCGTGCATTTAGAACCTTGGTTACAATGCCAGGGATGACTTCTCCTGCAGTCCTATAAACAAACAAACAAAAACACAATGTTCAGCTAGGGAAACATTATTGCCAGAAAGCATCCATCAGAGACAATATTATTTAACAGCTACGTGTACAACACTTGCAAACTTGCACATTACAAGTAAAATTTTGATTCTAATACATGGACTGGATTAAAAATAGATTCACGGATAAACAAAATGTTTAAAAATTATCAATAATCTTACTTCTTTGCATCAGCGGCATTCTCTACAAAAGCTAGCACAGCATCCAGGCCTTTTTCCTGGGCGATTGCATTGTTGTCTGTCACAAACTTTTTCACCAAACCTGAAAGAGAGAACAAAGCTGGTGTCAATAGGAACTAGAGGTAAAAAAAGAAACATAATTCATGTGAAAGTACTACTTCATACCTTAACTTTGACAAGAAATGTTAACATCACACAAGAATACGAATTAAGAAATATGTCAATCAATTCACTTGACTTGCATACTGTGAGAGGGACTCACCTAGATATTTGGCGAACTCTGGAGATTTCTCGCTCTTCTGTGTTTTGAAGAGTTTGGTGGCTTCCTCGTATCCAGCCACACGTGCCTTCCATACCTGCAGAGAGATGACAACAAGCAAAAATTTCCAGTACATCTATATCCAAACTATACATCATGCTCTAGAAGACAATGCATTTGAAATATCCTTGTTTTTTTTCTATCATCCATTCTTGTTATCACAATTCCAGTCTTTGTCACTGCATACTTGAATATCTAAGTGATTCTTACACTGTACCAGATAGGGATGTGTACCTAAACGTCGCATCAGGTACAGGTACAAAGGTACCTGTACTCATATGGGAACAACTTCAGTAAACAAATGTCAAAGCCTTATAATAAGTCATATCCTATCACCACAGGGCTCAAAACACTTTTTTCAAGTACACGCAAAAACTGCATGTTGGCAAAAATTTTACTATTTTTTAGGTGTTTTTGCTTGTTTTCAACGCAAATTCCTCAATATTGCGGAAGGATTTACACATTTTGGAACGAAAAAAAATGATTATTATTTCAAGAGTGCTGATTTATTCAGGTCCAATACAGTACATTGACAATCCGGTTTGGACCTGTACCAAGACGATTTTACCGATAAGTTGGACACAGCGGACCGGTGCACATCCCTAGTACCAGATAACAGGATCATCCTTACTTTGTGTACACACTTGTCATCTGTGGGCAGCTTCCTCCATTCACTATCATCATCTGCCATGGTTTCAACTTCTCAATGATATATCACTGTGAAATAATGACAGAGGAGTAGAATATCATTATGTAATACATGTACTGAAAAACATTTTCAGATTTTCTATCTAGCACTAAACATGCATCCATATACTTTACACACAGGCTTTTAGCTAGGGGGTGTCCAGGGTGTCTTTTGGACGCCCTGTACTGAAAATAATAAGAAATTGGACGCCCCACTTTTTTGTAGGACACCCTAAAGACGCCCTATTTTTTCCACTCCCAACCCCTGCCATGCACACATGCCTCCTTTCAGCCTTACTATAAATACAAAAATGATGGTTTACTGAAGGAAAAAACTCAAATTTACACCTGAAAATGCAGAAAGTAGTGTTTGAGAGCATTATGAATTTCAAAAAAGCCCCCCTAAAATCTTGCACTCAGCATGTCTTCACTGTGCATAGCATACAATAAAAAAAAATGGACGCCCACCAAAAAAATCCTAGCTAAAAGCCTGTTTACACATATTTACTATTCCTAGCCAGATGCAGTCACTATTCAAAAAGACATTAGACACAGTCATCAGTATTCTCTCTGAGAGTCTGAGGAGGTGGTTGTCACACCAGACCTAATGGGAAGTCCCTTGTGAACGTAGGTTGGATTTGCAAACTGTGACCTGAATTCATATGAGAGCCTTATATTATGGCTGTTGACAGCACCATCTGAGAATGTGTGTAACAATACGAAGTTAGTCTTCAATAATGTCCTCTACTCAAAAGAAAAAAAACGGGCCAATATGGCAATAATGAATTTGCATTTGACTGTCCTTCTCAAAATATACCAATTTGTCTATGGACAACACATAACACACGTAAATATCAGTGGTCGAAATACTTTTTTTCAGTGCTCTGCAATTTTGCAGAAGAGTCGAAATTTGGATCTGCAATTTGGAAATACTTCCTGCATGCAAATACACATGCCTCCATACTACACCCTTCTCAGACGAATTATGCCTTTTTACATCATATATAGCTTTGTAAATCTGTAGCATTACTGGAATTCTTTTAAGTTTGAAATATTACTCTTTTTAATTTCAGACTTTATAGATCCTTCTCTTTCACATTGCAGAAGAAATGCAGGTTTATTAGCAGAAACTATTGATTCATATGCAAACTAGAGTTCCCCGATCTCATACCTTCGCCAAATGATGTTAATCTTTATGACTGACAAATTATACATTAGATTATTCCCCCGATTTAAGAAATAGGAACCTAATTTTCATGAATTATATCATTTTATCATAATCTCAACCAAAAGACAGTCTTATATTAACAAACAATGCATTCTAGCATTTCCTAATAAATTATGCAAATGAGGTCCTGATTTGAATAAATTATGTTTAATGATGTTCACCTCAATTTAACTTTCAAATACCACAAGTATGAAATTCCAGGCAGTTATCATTACATAATTATAAAATTTTCTCATTAATTATGCAAATTAAGTCATTATTAACATAATCAATATCTTCCTGTGTTTCTCTCGTTGTCAATTACCAATGTCACAAGCTTTAATTTTCCTATTATTGAATGCAGCTGATTTATAGAATTTCTCCATAAATTATGCAAATTGCATCAATATTTGCATAATTGTCACATAATTATATTAAGTATCACGTAAGCTACCTACATACCAAAAATCACGACGATCCGTCAACCGGTTCTTGAGTTATCCCCTTTTGAATATTTTCAAGAATTTATCCCTGCAGTTCCAGAGCAAGCCGCTAGGGGGCCTAAACTCACGTCACTTCTTCCCCAGCACAAGAGCTACGTACCATCCACATTTCATCACCATAGCATGTCTAGATCATGAGATATCAAAACCGGAAGTTCAGCTGCAGTACCATAACAAGCCACTAGGGGGTCCAAAATCTAATCATTTTGAGGTCTCATCAAGACCTACCCACCTACCAAGTATCAAGACAATCCATGAAGGCCTTCTCAAGTTATCGTGTTTACAGACAGACACACACACACACAAACACACACACACACACGAACGCCCCTGAAAACATAACCTTCTTGGCGAAGGTAATTAGTGAAGACAAATTTTTGGAGTCAAAAGGAAACAAAAGATAGACAAGTCAAGACAATGATGATATAAATTAGTGAAGAAGCTCCTGTTGTTTCAGAACAGGATTTAAGTGTTGTCTGCCCCATAGGCCTGAGAGTTCTAGTGTGCTAAATTGAAAACCATTGAATCTGGAGCCTACTTTTCCTTCTGCAAAATTGCAGATTGTATAAATTTTTCTTCTGCAATCTTGAAAATCTATCTGCAGATTGCAGACAGGTATTTCGAACACTGAATATGTATAATTGCTGTACATGTACATGTAAGTATAACTTACACAGTTACAGATAGATGAAAGGACTAAAACTCATTGAAAACCCACGCCATCTATATATTTTGCTCAGCTAGAATATCTTAAGTTATACCTCCTCACCCCTATGGAATACATACTGAACTGTCCCAACCCATGACAAGCACCATAGACAGGTGCCTTCTCTCTAGAGTATTCCCAATCAAAAACACATGGTGATTCCCAAGAGTGGCTTCCTTCTTCCATTGTAACATTCCAGTTACAGCATGTAGTTAGCTTTCCATATATGTCATGTCATTACTCACATTACAAATCTATAGTGAGCTTAGGATATGGACAGTATATACATCATAACATTGTATGATTCATGTCCAAAATAATCAATATGGCATGATCTTTGTCAAACCAGATTAGAATACTCCACCAAAGGCATTGATAAGGATTGATATAAAATATAGCAAAAATATAATAACTTTGAAAATTTGTATCATATGAAATTGAAGCAAAGGAATTCACATACCTGCCAATTTTCTACAACCCTTGATAGATTTTGAAATATAATGTAGATCACAAAAATTTAAGACTCAAAGATGATGCACTTGGAATACAGATGAGCACTCAGCAGTATATATCATTTAAATAAAAGATTGGTCCCTGTATACTACACACATGACTACATTAATGCTGTCTGACGGATATGCAAATCATGAGGGAGCATCATATACACATAATCCCAAAATCCAGTCACGAGTCTCACCACATGGCCAACGTATGTTTGTATTGGGGCAAATCCAAATTACTTGTGTAATATTTTTCTAGAATCCAAATACATACAACATGTACATGCCTAACCTTCAGTAACATCCAGAAATATCTACTGAATGTTGAACTTGGCTCAGACTGAGTCACTCTGGATCTGAACTTTAATTAACCTTCAATGGGTGATGAAGCAGGTCTGACGTGATATGAACAGTAAATAGGGCCTATAGCAGTCAGTTTCAAAGCAGCATTTGACTTTCAGTTTGAACAAATTTGTGAATCAGAATACTACTAGTAGTAGATGTAGAAGTAGATGAATTTGGCTACCAAATCTGGATACCACACCCCTTAACAAAAAGTAACTTGGGAATCATATCAATTTATATCTCCATCATATCTACAAATGTTGAGTGCTACTGTGAATCTGATGATGGCTTCCCTGAATGAAGATAAATGGGGTTTATATCACCCCTGTTGTCCACTACAAAGGAGGTTATAAAGACCTGATTGGGCTTGATTTGCATATGAAAGGACACCTTTCAGGTTTCACAGGTGGCTGTTGGGTGTGCTATAAAAATTAGCCTGGTTACCAAACCTATTATAGCTCCCGAGTCTTGCGGAGAGAATGTAGGAATCGGGAGCTATAATAGGTTTGGTAACCAGGCTAATAAAAATACAGCACCACAGACATTATGTAATTTTGTATACATTTGTTAACCTTTTTCATACTAACAAACATCTTCACTGGTAGTACCAACAACAGTGAAGGTATAGGGCTAGAAGAGCATGGGTAGAAGCATAAATATAGAAGTAATTCAGAGCTGCAGTATATGTACTTCAAAGACTAGGCAAAGAGGCTTTGGATGCCCTGGTATGAACTTGTGTACTTACAGCTATAAATGGAACATTCTACTGTATGTTAAAGTTACTAACAACAGCTGTGAAGTGATCTGACACCACATATATAACCAATGCATCTGCAAGACTGACCTTGCAACCTTTTTTTTATAATATTATATTGCAAATTATAAAACTTCTTTTGTGGGATTCCTTCTTTAGTAATGCCACATAAGTCTAAGAGTATATATGCATTGAATGTAGCATACAAATGATATACAACTGGGAATTGGAGCATCAACACGACAGTCTTTACACTGGGAAGGCACTATAACTATATATATTGGCCTGGTCATCTTTGGGTCAACCTGTGGTGGACAATTGGGCCACCGGGTCAGGGTAAATGGACACTACAGTACTGTGCAAAATTACCTCAAACACATAGGGGATTTTTTAACATGAAACTCCACTAAACACTAGGTACCAGTAACAGTAAACCAATGTTTGTATTGTCATCAAGACAGAATTACACCTTACTATTGGATCATCTGACCTACATTGTAACAGTTACAGTGTGTGTGGCATACTGGTTGAAGATTCTAACATAGTCCGATCCTTGTGTCAGAAAATAGTTGAATCTTTACAATAATGTCCTATACAAACACAGATGAAATGCTGTGTCCCTGCAAATCTTGTAGATGGAAACCAACAGTAATCTGATGATGTTACTACACAGATGTCACATAACGATGTTGATCAGCATTCCCTTGGGGCTTTTGAGATATTTCACAAGCACAAAAAGCCATTGATTTTTTTATCTATTCATCAGCGTTTTTTGTTAAAACTACGAGAATCTAGTTGGACAGCAAATGAAAGGTATATGATTACCGTGCATAAAAAAAATTGCACCCTTTTTTTTTGATAGGAATTCTACTAGTAGTCAACAGCATGTTTAGTTGAGCATAACTACAGTTGGTGAGCAGGTACTGTGCTACATGTATACACTCACTGGTAAATTTGGGTCTGAGTCAGCTTTGTTCAGTGCAAAGATCGATACACACTATATGTTTTAACCTGCAATTTATCAAACACTGGATATCATGGATACTGTGAGTCAAAATTTATTCAACATACATACTAGTAGGTCTGGTTCCCAAAGAGGGTGCAACTTTCCTCCAAAAATGTTAGTTTGTACCAAATTCTAAACACAGGAATGCACACGCTCACCTAAAACGTATCCCTATGGGCCCTGGTAGGTACACCCACAGCAGAAAAACCTTCACACCAAATGTTTTGAATCACGAAAGTGCCGTGCCCCCCTCCCCTTCCCTTCAAAACCAACGACGCGAGCAGCTAGCCGGTAGGCAAAATATTTCCCACCAAACTGCAACGTACCAAGTCCAACGCTTCCAGACACTTCCAAACCACCCTATGACTATCTATAAAACTTACCCGTTAATGTCGTTTGCGTTGTGAGTCGGAAAGCTATCGAAAATGTCTTCTGAATATCGATACCACAACAACAGTCTTCTCGGCAGACGTGCGGAACTAACCGACTTTGAAATTTTAAAACTAAGTAGGTCACGTGGTGCAGTATGGCTATGCTGATTGGTCAGTTTGAATATCATGACGTCATTTTTATGCTGCCCTCGGGCGTTCTCGCGAGATTTTCCGAGATTTGTCCTTATTTGATCAAGGCAAGATGGCGGCGCTTGTGGCCGCGGGATCCGTCGAAATCCCCTTGCGGGATACAGACGAGGTTTGTGCAATATTTCAAACGTTTTAGCAAATATATTTACGTCAGACCTCATGAACAAGATCTGTGGATATTTTTGCACTCAGATTTGTTGCTCTAGTCGATCTCTGTTCAAGTTGTTTCAGTCGTTGTTGATTGTTACGTCGCACCTCACGTTGTGTTCTCTTTCCTGTCTTCCTTTCTTCTTCTGAACAAGTGAGATCTAAGAACTTACACCTTAAACCAAGCTCAGACTGGTTACGTAGTTGCTAAGAGAAGAAATCAACCTACCAGGCAATGTCGTGAAAACTTATTTTCTTGCCTTTCAGTTTCAGATAAGTAAAACTAAATTTTCACTAAGATCTGTTCACAATCACATGATCTTGATACCTTGATACCGTCTACAGTCGAGTAAGGCTTCTTCCCGCCTGTTGTGGACTGGTCTTAGACGCCTTCTTCGTACTTCAGGTGCTCCCAGTGTCGATCCAATCTCGTTTTAAACTGGTTGACTGTTTCACTGGATACTACAGTCGGCGGCAGCGAATTCCAGTCTTTGATGACCCTCACACTGAATACATGCTGTCTACTCCTTGACTTGGCCAATGGTACCTTCAACTTGAAGTTGTGGCCTCTTGTTGTACCCCCTGCTAACTCAAAGAAGTTGTCTGCTTGTACCCTTTCCTGCCCAGTCAGGAACTTGAGAACACCTGAATCATATCTCCCCTTCTTCTTCTATATCCCAGGGACGGTAGTCTAAGCCTCTTTAGTCTCTCACTGTAGGGGAGCTCCCTGAGCCCAGACACTAGTTTTGTAGCTCTTCTCTGCACCGCCTCCACTTTCTGCTGGTCGAGGGAGTAGTGGGGTCCCCAGATTACATTCCCATATTCCAGGTGGGGGCGTACCATGGTCTTGAAGAGTGTAGGGACTGTGTCTTTGTCCAAGTTGTAGAAGGTCCTCTTAATCAAACCCAAGACTTGGTTTCCTTTGTTTGCCGCTTTTGCTGTATGTGAATGGAATGAGAGCTGGTTGTCTATTGTTACGCCAAGGTCTTTCTCCTCCACCGTTTCTTCAATGGTTTGTCCTCCCAGACTGTAGCTGTTTTTCTGGTTCGTTCTTCCTAAGTGGAGCACTTTGCACTTAGTAAGTAACGGTAAAAAGTAACTGCCATGCTTGTGACCATTCCCCCACTGTGTTTAGGTCCTGCTGCAGTGCATCTTCTCCGGTCTTGTCATGGACAGTTTTGTACAATTTACTATCGTCCGCAAATATTTTTATTCCACTAGCCACTGCCTCGGGTAGGTCATTTATGTAGATCACAAACAGAATTGGTCCAAGGACACTACCCTGCGGAATGCCGCTCTTGACTTCCCTCCAAGACGAAAACTGTCCGTTTACCACTACCCGTTGCTTCCTCAGTCTTAGGAAGTCTTCAACCTCAGTCTTAGGAAGTCTTCAACCCAGTTCCTTGTTCTTTGTTGCATGTGTAGTTTTTTGTCATCAAGGAGATAACCTGATGATGATGCTTGATGACTAGTACTTTATTTTCCTACAGCAAAAAAAGGAATCAGATCAGATCATGTTATCCAGTGCAGGAACTGATGCATAGCAGCTGCAGAATTTGGGTCTGCTTGTCAGGTTCCATATGTGTAGAAGTCAGAACTGTATTAATTTAGTCACAAATGTTACTATATGATGTTTCTTGAAAGTGTAAACAGACGTGATGAAGCTGTATGTTTGAACCCATTCCAGGTGATAGAACTTGACCTTGACCAGCTGCCTGATGGAGAGGAGGTGTTGAACATCCTACGTCAGGAGAATGTGGTCCTCACTGTGTGGATCACACTGGCTGTACGTATGCACATAAACTACACATGCTTCTATTAATATTATAGTCTTTGTAAGGTCGTCTGTCACTCTGTGCAATACATGTAGCATCAGGGCTCTCCCCAAGCAATGAAGTAGGGTGCTCCCCCTCCCCCCAAAACCCTAGCACCTCACCCAAAATGTTCAAATTTAGGGTTTTCTCTTAGAATTTTCATGAAAATTTGCTGATTTTTTTTTCAAGATGTCAAACGCCTAAGGAGGACCTCTCCCCAAAAATTTTGTAATGAGTTAAACAAGCATGAAATTTCGTAAATTTCATTGAAGTACGATGTACGAAGTATCAAATAGTTTCAATAAAAATTATGTGGAGCGTAGGGGTGTCCTCTTGGAACCACAAATATGTGTTCTGCTATTTCTAGTGAACTTCAAACACCACGAAACCACCTTTTCATATTCACACAGTGAAATAAAACCACAAAATAAAACTCCAAAAGTAAATGCATTACAGTAGTACGATACTCTGTATATAGGTGATCATGTATATCAATGTCTGTTCCCTTGCAGCTGGAGTATTACAAACAGGGTAAGGCTCAAGACTTTGTCAAGATCCTGGAGGCGGCGCGAACGGACGCCAACCATGACTACCGGAACCACGAGATCGACCAGATGAAGTCGCTGGACACGCTGGCCGCGTACTACGTGCAGCAGGCACGGAAGGAGAAGAACAAGGATCGCAAGAAGGAGCTGTTCACGCAGGCCACGCTCCTGTACACCATGGCTGACAAAATCATCATGTACGACCAGGTCAGGGTGCACAACTTCTTACCACTTTTTCCTGTAACATAAACAGTTTTGACATGATTGGCACTGTCCATCTTATTTTAAATTTAGATCAGCCAGTCTGTAAAATCTCACAAAAGAGAATATGCTGGTACCTGTTGTAATTAAAAAGAATATTTTTGAAAAATTATAAAAGCTGAAGTTATAATACCAGTGTTTACAGTTGTGAGCATATGTTTTTGTGTTCCTGTAGAACCATCTCCTGGGCCGTGCCTGTTTCTGCCTGCTGGAGGGAGACAAGATGGACCAGGCTGATGCACAGTTCAACTTTGTACTCAACCAGTCTCCAAACAACATCCCTGCACTACTGGGTAGGTTTATACTCATGTCAGTTTTACTTCTGCAGATTATTGCGTCCAATAAAAAATTGATACGTTTCATACGTAGCTTATACATGTTTTTTTTTCTCACACAGGAAAAGCCTGTATCTCTTTTAACAAGAAAGACTACAGAGGAGCCCTGGCCTACTACAAGAAGGCTTTGAGAACAAATCCTAACTGTCCAGGTAAGTGCACAATATAGCAACCGTTATATTCTTGTGTGAAATGTATTCTTCCACTGTTGTTAGCCTTCCACATCTGCTGCAGTTCTCATCAGAATTGCCAGGGAGCGTTAGTGACAGTTATCCATGACTGATGCATGGCAGCTGTAGACAGCTCTGTCCAGGATGTTCTATGTTCATGACAGGTTGACTAACATTGTATATCTCTGTGTACCACAGCTGAAGTCAGACTGGGTATGGGACACTGCTTTATGAAACTCAGCAAGGCAGATAAAGCAAGGTACATGCACAATTCTATATTCAAACATCTTTTTAGCTCAGGCTATAATGATATCTGAAGACAAGAAAGTATAATGTAAAATGAGGGACCTACAAAGCTCTGTAACAATGTATTCAGGGCTCTAGCCAGCACCTGTTTTTCCGTCAATTGCAGGAACTTTACGCCAAAAAGCAGTTACTCAAGCAACTGGATATGATTTTGAACTTTGTTGTGTGTCACGGTAAAAATTTTTAACCAATCAACCTTGACAGACACAGTTGACAAAAATCTTGAATCGTTCCTTTGTTAATTTCTCCTAGACTATAGCTATGAAAATTTCTCTTGATGCACATGTAGCATTGCCTTTTGGTATTGCTATGCATACCTTTATGCAAAACAATCACAAAGAAAATGTTAATTTACATCATCTCTCTACAGCCTTGCCTTCCAGAGAGCCCTGGAGTTGAACCCCAAGTGTGTAGGGGCCCTGGTGGGCCTGGCTATCTTAGAACTCAACAGCAAAGAGGTAGGTTCCCCCTTTTTTTAGATCCTCAGAAACAACAACATGAGATTCAGAAATGTCAAGAACTATTCGTTGATGAAATTTTGCCATATAGAAATCTAATGATGCATTTACTAACACAGGTCTAAGGTAACATAACATAGGTCTAAGTTAATGCCTTTACAAACATTTTTTTTTAATTCTTAGGACAAGGAATCCATCAGGAGAGGTGTACAGTATTTGTCCAGGGCCTACACCATAGACTCCACTAATCCCATGGTACTCAACCACCTCGCCAACCATTTCTTCTTCAAAAAGGTCAGTCTGAATGGCTCCCTTTCTACTACAGTTGTATAAACATTTATTTCTCAAGTATAGTGATGCATACTTAAACCCAATTTTAGGTTCAGGTCCGGATTCAAGTCCAGAGGTTTAGGTTCAGTTCCGGACTTGTAAGTCCGGACCTAAACCCATGGCATATACAAAATTGCATGTTGGCAACCTTGCAATGTTGTCTGGGTGAAGCTTTGGCCACATAACATGGAGGCTGACACTTGACGATGCCCGATGGCAATGTTTTCTTTGTTTTGCAGCAAAGATTTTTACAATCTACGGAAGGTTTTAGGTGGTTTGGAAAGAAAAGGGGTATGTGAAATGGTCTTTTATGGTAATAAGTCCGGACTCGGTTCTTGACTTTTAGGTTTTTTTGGACTCGAACCTAAACATTCTTACAAGTCCGAATCCAAGTCCAGTGAACCGGTATGCATCACTACTCAAGTAAAGGGGGTTGAATCAAAACAACACAATATTGTGCCAACATAAGCTATAAATTCTATTATATTTAGAAATGTACTGTGTATGCAGTGTTCTGAAGCTCTGTGGACAAAATGTTTGGAAGACCAGTATTACCATTTTTCTATAGGAAATATTTCTGTGTACAAATTCTGAGTATAGTTTTTTGGGGGGTGTCTTAACATTGGTACTCAAAGTGTTGGGTGTTGTACTCTTTATTCAGTACACATAGAAATACTATTGTTTGAGGAAATTTTCAGCTGTTCATCTGTGTATGTCTGAATGCAGGACTACAATAAGGTACAGCACCTGGCCCTGCATGCCTTCCATGGAACAGAGGTGGAGGCTATCCAGGCTGAGTCCTGCTATCAGCTAGCCAGGTCCTTCCACGTACAGGTATGGGCTTCCATGGACGACAAGCTTTTAAAGCAGTTCTAGGAAGGTGTTTATTATGCCACTAATGTTCTATGCTAAATGTATCTTGACCAATCTTTACAATCACTTTGGCAGTGCTTTATTGTAAAATTTGTATATGACATCTTGAAACCACTTTTAAGTCTTTGCATGCAAAGCTAGCCCCTACACAGGTAGTAGTCTACTTTTACTGTGTACTAAATCTTTCTGTTTGCTTACATGTCCATAGTCATTTGAATACAGTAGACTCATATAGGAGGGAATGGTGTGACTGCAGACTGATAGGAAGGTCAAATTTGAGGTCAAAATGTTCTCCCCGCAGGTTCGGAGGAAAAAAAAGTGGAATATTCTCAGAATCAGCAAAAAATTCTCAATAATGTATTTAACAAAAAATTGACAACAATTTTAAATACTCCACGGATGTATAAAGTGTTTGATTTCTTGTTCTGAATGTTGTTTTCCCCTGACAGGGTGACTATGACCAGGCGTTCCAGTATTACTACCAGGCTACCCAGTTTGCCTCCACACAGTTTGTCCTGCCACAGTTTGGACTGGGACAGATGTACATCTACAGAGGAGACAACGAAAATGTGAGTGGGAACTGTTTATCATAGCTTTTCAGGGCTCAAAATACTGGGTGTATATATTCACCTTAGTGCATATAAAATGGGGCTATGCTGGTTTTTCTAATGTCTACCTGCACCTAACCTTCACCGGCTAATGTACTGTGTTTATATACAAATGTCACCATCTATGAAGTATAAAAGAAGTAATGGCAATGGTTTTTGAACAGTTTCTAGTATGATCCATACTTTGGTGCAGGTAAAATTTGCCTGGTGCTGGTAATTTTTAATGTTACCTGCACCAGTGCAGGTATGCAGAAAAAAGTGATTCGAGCCCTGCCTTTTTAATGTTTATCAAGCTTTCTCAGTTACATATGACTTTGAATATTTTTATTTTAACAAAATTTGTTTCTTGGATTCACAGGCAGCACAGTGCTTTGAGAAAGTTCTGAAACACTTCCCCAACAACTATGAGACTATGAAGATCCTGGGCTCGCTGTATGCACAGTCTTCTGACCAGGAGAAGAGAGACATTGCCAAGGTACAATCCTACACAGTATCTCGTTCTTGATACCATTGCTATTGAATATTAGTTACATAAAATTTTTGGGCATCTACATGTATGCTCAGTGAGAAAGCCAAGGCCTAAATCCATCGGTGAAGGTGAAACATCCAGGTAATAAGGTTCTACAAAATCATATCCAGTTGCTTGAGTAACTGTTTTTTGGCAAGGCCTAAAAAAAGTGAATCATAAGGAATACAATCAATGTGGCTAAAGAGCCATGGTCTTCAGTGATAACTATTTTTTTAAGCCAGGGTATGTGAATTCTGGTCAGATGAAAGTTAACTCTCTTTGTATACCCTTTCTTGGACACAGCATCACTCACTGTCAACATTTCTGTCACATAAAAACTGTGTCTGTTCTTCTGTAGCAACACCTGAAAAAGGTGACAGAACAGTTTCCTGATGATGTGGAAGCCTGGATTGAGCTGGCTCAGATCTTGGAGCAGTCAGACATCCAGGTAAGAAAGCTGACAATTAAGTGTATCATTCTCACTTCAAAGTTTCTACCCAAGATGTGTTTCTGTCCCCTCCTTATTCACCAACATTGCTGTGTTTGTACTGTGATATTTTTTCAAGACTGCAGTACTTCTTTGTGTTGTTAGGGGGCGCTTCAAGCCTATGGCACTGCCACACGTATCCTGAAGGAAAAGGTACAGGCTGATGTGCCACCAGAGATCCTGAACAACGTGGGGGCCCTGCACTTCAGACTGGGGAACTTACAGGAGGCAAAGGTCCATAGGACAATACTTACTTAATGCAAAACCTTCTGAGAATGAAATGTGTGTTTGGTGAACTGGACTTTCCTAAGGTGCCATCGTGTTGAAAAAAAATGCCCAAAGTTCCTCCAAGAAGCTTTATTAGTCTTTATTTGCAAAATCAATAATTTGAAATATTTCATATTTTGTGCCTTTGTTCACACAGAAGTAAATTGAATAGTTTGTAGTTGACAGCAATGTTTATTGCAATTGCACGTGGTACAATGTACAAAAAAAAGGTACAGAAAAAGAGCTAATAAGAAATTCTAATTACTCAAACAACAAGGGCTAGCACAAGTCTGTCGTTGATATAGTGTTACAATCAAGTGGGCCTAATCACGAGTTTTGGTATTTTTTCTAATAACAAACATATGAGTGAATTTTTTTCATTTCACAGAAATATTACGTGGCTTCGCTGGACCGTTCCAAACAGGAGGCTCAGCACGACGAGACGTACTACAGCGCCATCTCCGTCACCACGTCCTACAACCTGGCGCGGCTGTTCGAGGCGCTCTGCATGTACCAGGACGCAGAGAAGCTGTACAAGGAGGTGCTGAGGGAACATCCCAACTATGTGGACTGTTACCTCCGCCTGGGCTGCATGGCCAGGGACAGGGGGCAGATCTATGAGGCCTCCGATTGGTTCAAGGAGGCTCTCCAGATTAATCAGGTGGGTGGAGTTCATTTTGTCCATCAAATGTCTCAGAATCTGGCCAGGGAGCCAACAGGAATTAGAAGTGACATGGGGGAATTCAATAAGAGAAGATTGCATACTTCCCAGATGTCTGAAATCTCTGACTTTTTGGTCATAATTTGACATGTCATGATCATAGACAAAATTTATGTTGAAGACTTGTCTGTGTAGTCAGACTGTCTCTGATTTGCTGTTCTGCACCCAGACATATTTTGATCGTGACCTACTTTCTCCTTACCTGCAGAACCACCCGGATGCCTGGTCCCTGCTTGGTAACCTCCACTTGGCTAATCAGGAGTGGGGGCCGGGGCAGAAGAACTTTGAGTGGATATTCTGATCATAACCTACTTTCTCTGTACTTACAGAACCACCCGGATGCCTGGTCTCTGATTGGTAACCTCCACTTGGCTAAGCAGGAGTGGGGGCCGGGGCAGAAGAACTTTGAGTGGATATTCTGATCATAACCTACTTTCTCTGTACTTACAGGACCACCCGGATGCCTGGTCTCTGATTGGTAACCTCCACTTGGCTAAGCAGGAGTGGGGGCCGGGGCAGAAGAAGTTTGAACGGATCCTGAAACACCCAGACACGGCTAGTGATGCCTACTCCATGCTGGCCCTGGGGAACGTGTGGCTACAGACACTCCATCAACCACAGAGGGACAAGGAAAAGGTACCGATCCAAAATATTTTGATCTTTTTTACCTTTCTATCCAATCTGTATTGTATATGTAAAAGTATAGGGTTTTTCTGGAAAAATTGGAAATGTGTTGTTGTAGCATTGGTGTTGTAGCAAACTGTAATCTAATTTCATAATCCAAATGTGTTACAGTAGTGACTATGATGCCAATTGCATAACTCTCAAAGTCATTGCATCTGAGGTAGTTTTAGCAACTTCTTCTACAATTTCTTATTTTCCATTTCCGTTGTTTTTGTTCTGCCCCCAGGAAAAGCGACATCAGGACCGTGCTCTTGCCATGTACAAACAAGTCCTGAGGAACGACCCTAAAAATCTGTATGCTGCCAATGGCATCGGTAAGGCATCGGTACCGTACATATCAAATATTTACACTGTCACTACCGGGTATTGTTGTGAAAGCTTTGTAAGATTTCACCATGAATGCTTTGTCCACCAAGCAGTATGTGGAAGTTCTGTACTAACAAAGGTATTACTAACATGGAGGGTTGTGTTTGTTCCAGGTGCAGTTCTGGCTCAGAAGAACTGTATCCGGGAAGCCAGAGATGTGTTTGCACAGGTATGTCTTTGTTTCATTTTGTTTGGTTTCATAAACCTTAGACCAGGGACCAGGTCCTGGCTTAGGTACTTGCTTGCTTGTTTGTGCCTTTATTTAGACTTGATATTAGCCTTTTAGGCCACTTTTCATGGGGGTGGAACAGTGCTGTTTTTGATGAAGTGTTTAACTGCTGTCCTTTCTGACTGTCCACAGGTCCGTGAGGCTACAGCAGACATGCGTGATGTGTGGCTGAACCTGGCACACATCTATGTGGAACAGCGCCAGTATGTCAGTGCCATTCAGATGGTGAGCAAACTGGTTCTTTTTTGGCTACACCCCAGGAGCATGCCTAATAGTGTAGTGTGAAAATAGTCTGTAAGAGTTATGTAAATTGTAATATGTAGTGCAGAGTATATTTCTTTTATCCTGTCTTTCACCCTTTATGAAAATAATTTGTTAGTACTGCTGAACTTTATCTGATTTTATACCTTAAAAACGACATGTTCCCAGCCGCGACCTGACCTTTTGCCTGACCTATGACCTAACCTTTCACCCCTACAGTATGAGAACTGTCTGAAGAAGTTCTATAAGTGCCAGGACACGGATGTGCTGCTGTACCTGGCACGGGCGTACTACAAGCTGGGCAAGCATAAGGAGTGTCGACAGATCCTGCTCAAGGTAAACTCAGTGGTCATGGGTTCAATTCCCATAGAGGGGAGGTCATATACTCTACCTAGCATTTCTGTATGTGACGTTTCTAAAGTCAGGTCGTTAATTTCTTTGTTAGTTGTCAGTAGAAATGAACATGATCGTGATTACAGTTGTCTGTAATTTTTCTACATGTTACAAAATTTCTTTGTGTTACACCATGATTATTTCTGGGTACTGAAGTATTAGTTTGGGTGGCAGAGCTGTGGGTTTATCTAGGTTGACGGCACAAGGGCAGTGGGAAGATTGATTCATTGGAAGAAGGAAAGTAGGTCTAAGGTCTCAGAAACTGGCTAGAAGCCAGCAGAAATTACAAGCCATACTTTTCTGAAAACTGAAATGTCAATATTCTTGTTTAAAGTTTAAACTTCATATCCCACACAAAGAAGTGCTCTCACCTAGAGCTTTTCACCAGTCACTCTGGTCTTCCTCAGTAGACTGATCCAGTGAAGCTTCTTTTGTCACGTGGCTTCTTTGAACTTGACGTCAACACTGGGTGACAAGCCTCACTGGGTCAGTCTACTGAGGAAGACCAGAGTGACTGGTTGAAAGCTCTAGGTGTCTCTATTACTTTTTTTGTGTTCGATTTAAAGTTTAAACTTCAAGCATGTAACTACCAACACAGATGAACTTTCATGATAGTGTTTGATTTCTTGTTATCATCTGAAGCAATTCCTTGTTAACTCTCCAGGCCCGTCACGTGTCCCCCCACGACACTGTCCTGCTGTACAACATGTCGCTGGTCATGCAGAAAATGGCCACATCTGTGCTGAAGGACGAGAAGAGCAACCTGAAGACTGTGCTGGGGGCCGTCAGGGAGCTGGAACTGGCACACAGGTACTGTACTGTACAAGCAGTTCTTATGAGAGTAGGAAATTTAATGGCACAGTCAAATTTATTGTATGTCGCAGTCTGATTTTGATTGACAGGTGTAGAATTTACAAGCAGGTTGTGACAGAACCAACTGCTGACATGGATCTAAGACCCTTTTATATAACAAGATAGCTTAATTTTATATGATGCATGCACTTCTATCCCCTTAAATATCCCCTTTTAATAATGCTCTTTGTGATTGTACAATAGTGTACAACAAATGTCCTAAACATGACTTGCCCTAAACATGATCATACAAATCTCTAATATGGGCCAACAATAGGTTGAGAATTGGGTATGCTGAGCTTCCTTTGTTGCATACCTTTATTATGAGAAAACAAAGCTATGTATAATGGTCAAACTTTGTTTTTTCCAGGTATTTCAACTACCTGAGCCGAGAGGGTGACCGTATGAGGTTCGACCTGAAACAGGCAGAGGTTGAAGCCAGGTAAACAAAAAAATTGTACAATTGTATTTTAGGAGAAATGTTGCTTCCATGTATTGTGAATTGATAAATGTTTCTACAACAAAGATCTTTATTCACAACCAAAGTAGTGTACAAGACAGTCGTTTACCAACCTTAGCTTGAGCTGTGATTTAACTGTCCTTTCTCTTGCATAATGTGATTGCTAACATGTCGTTTCTAATGACACCCATCCCAGGCAGTGCTCTGACTTGCTGAGCCAGGCTCAGTACCACGTGGCGCGGGCCCGCCGTCAGGACGAGGAGGAGCGGGAGGTGAGGATGAGACAGGAGCAGGAGCGGGAGGCCCTGCGACAGAAACAGCTGGAGGAGCAGCGTAAGAAGACGGAGGAGCGCGAGCAGCAGGCGCGGGAACTGCAGGAGAAGCGACGTCAGTACCTCGACAAGACCAAGAACCTCCTGGTGCTGCCGGACGAGCCGCCGGACGAGCCCAAACCCAGGAAGAAGGGCGGTGGTGGAGGACGGGTGAGTTTGGTAGAATGCACAATATCTCTGTAACACTCCACCAAATCAGTGAATGTATGTATGTCTTGTAGGGGAATCCTATAGCTGTAGGAATGTCTGATGGCTTAAATTTTGCTTTTCTTCATGACTTATCATTTACCCTAATCTTAACCACCACTTGCTGATTCTCTGCTCTTGTCGTTCTGTTTTACTCCATTCTTTTTCTGTGACAATTTTGTTAAGTCAACTCTGTCAATCTATCCTTTGAAATTATTGTTTCTGTTATCTTCTTCCAATTTCTCACATCCCCCTATCATAATTTGTTCCTTTCCCTTTTCTTTCTGTGTATTTTCTGTTCTTCCTTTGATGTTTTGTCTCTTGTGCTAAAGCTCTCTTGTCTTCTCATGTCTGTTCTGTGTGTGTCATTCTAATCCTAAGAAAGTGCACTACTCAGAGACAGTTGATGATGATGATGGTATGCCTGTCAGGAAGAAGTCCAGGTCAAAGGGTGGACTGGTAAGGCTCTGGGAGTGTTCCAGAGTTAGGTCACGTTACTCAAGCCAGCAAGTAGCAACAAGAAGATGATATGGCTCTTGTACAATGAATAGCTAATGTATTTTTTGTCCAATGTACCAGAATATTCAACAGTTCTGTTTGTGCCGTGTGATAGCATGTTCTTGTGCTGTTGTTTATAAAATTGCAAATCCTTGTCTAACCATTAGTATACTTAAGTAGCCATATGGGTACGAATTCTCGGTTGGTTACGGGTTAGGCAGCAGGGAGAAGGTTGAAAAGAGTCATAGGGGTTACACCAATCTCATTACTAATGTATTTTGTGCGTTAGGAATGGCAATAATTGTTGTTTTTTTTTCTGTTAAGCTTGTTTCAGTACATACTAAATCACTTGTAACCCTCCAACACAGTTGAAATGAACAAATATTTACTTTGCTCACGAATCTTTACATTCATTACAATATCTGTAGATGAGAGAATTCACTCACATCTGTAAAATTTAATGATTATTTCAACACAATCTCTTTTCTTTCTGTGTGTGTTCTCTTCTCTGTGTCCTGTCCACACCTGTCCCCAGTTTATACATGATCCCAGCATAAAGAACTCCCAAAGGGTGAGTTGGTAGGTTCACTACCCAAGGGTGTGCATGGAGTATGCCAGTATGCTGCTGGAATAATGGGTTGTCATAGGGCAACAGCTTAACCCCCTTCATACCCATTGGTAGAGGCTTTGCACTCTGCTATAGAGCCTAGGCTTGAAATGCATTTATGGCTGACTAGTTATAGGTAGTACAACTGTATTAAAGATACTGATGTTATGCTATTTTGGCAGTGCCTTTTTAATTGAATTACTAACTTGCCATGTGATATGTCAACATACATGTACATGTAGGTATGCATACCACAACTGCTATTATCTATTTATCATGAATTATGGATGTTTTGTTGATAGACATAGAATTACGCTTAAGTTCAAGAGGCACTTTGAGGCAATGATACCGACTCATTGACAGAAGATTTTCCCACATTTTGTTCACGAAATACTGATTTCTTCCTTTCAGCGTAAACGTGATATAGATGACATTATCGATGACGGCAGTGGCAGCAGCATGAGCGGTGGGGAGGGGGGTGCGGAGGGAGGAGTGCCAAAGAAGAAGAAACGGATGGAAGGAGAGAAGAAGAAGAGAAAGAGGGAAAGGTTAGCTCTCTCTGTCTTTGCAATTACCTCACATTGTAATCCTTCACAGTGTTTTTGTTTTTGCACTTTTCATGGTTTTTGCCTTGACCTCTCTACCATAAATTCACAACACCCTGAATGTATCTTCTGTGTATGACTACAGCATTGTTTCAACTGCAAATTTAAAGCACTATTAACACTTCCCTAAATCCCTCCTATCCCCCCCAAAAAAGAAGGTTTCACAATTTACAGTAACTTGTAAAGTCAGGCATGTTACAGGATTGCAGGAAAAGTCTGTTAGTACTGATGTTATCTTACTTCTTACACACTTCCCTGCCTTGCAATTCTATTCATATCCAAATATTAAGAAATGCATGAATCGTCCCACAGAAAACCAGCTCGCGAAGCTGCTGACAGCGATGACGAAGAAGGGCAGTCTGGGAAGCGCCCGCGGAAACGCAAGCCCAAGGAGCCAAAGTCTCGCCGCGTGACCTCGCTGGAGCCGCAGCTGTCCGCCAAACAGCTGAGCAAGGTCAAGTCCAAGGCCATCATCTCATCCAGCGACTCCAGCTCAGATGACGAGAAACTCAAGATCGCAGAGCCTGAGAGGTAAGACAGCAAACTGTTGCAGCAGTCAGTATAACACTGCTGCTGTATGCTGCTGTATGCTCAACTAATGTCTGAATCTACTATCTTGAAGTAGTTTGCATAGAATTTAACAATTTAAAAGAGGTATTCCTTGCTCATATCTAATTCCTTGAATTAAAGCATTTTTGTGAAAGGGCAGTTGATGACAAAAGTTCACAACTTTGTATTTCAGTGGCAAAGAGAGCGATAAAGCTTCCAACAAGAGCGGTAGTTCCAGCGACAGCGGCAGTCAGCGTATACGAGAACGCAAGCCAGGAGGTGTGCGGGGAAGGGCCAGGGTTCTCTCCGATAGCGAAAACTCTGAGTCCGAGAAATCAGCAAGTGGGAGCGGCTCTGACAACGAGAAGCGGTCTGGCGGTTCAGCGAAATCGGGCAGTGGAAACGAGTCAGGGCGGTCTCGCTCTGGTAGTGATAACGAATCAGCCAATGAAAAGTCAGGCAGTGCCAGTGGGAACGAGTCAGCCAATGAGAGATCAGGCAGTGGGAATGAATCAGCCAATGAGAGATCAGGCAGTGGGAATGAATCAGCCAATGAGAAATCGGGCAGTGGGAATGAGTCAGGCAATGAGGGCTCTGGGAAAGAGTCAGGTGGGGCTAAGAGCTCTGGGAATGAGAGCTCAGCTAGTGGGGGTGCCAAGTCAGGATCAGAGAACAGTGACTCAGATTAGCCTACTCATCATAACATGATACACCTACCACTGTAAACCCCAAAGGGGCAAGCAGAATGGGGATTGACATCCTTCCAGGAGCTTAACAAATACTGTTCATAGTAGTTGTGTTTATTTACTTGTAGAATGTAACAATTATTCTCTTTTATGTGAATTAATAAGCAAACATGTCTTAGTATTACATCACACAAATCATGCAGAATGACACATAACTACATGTATGTACCCTGTTAGGAGTAACTAGAAAACATATCTTTAAGCATTGTGTTGTAAATTACTACAAATTCTTCCCAACTATTAACGATATCTTGTGGTATTAGTAATTGTTACAATTATATTATAGTAAGGATATTTCAATGTAACATGCCTACAATTTTTCTGTCATAATGGTTTCAAATGCAAAACCTTTGACTGTTCATTTTGACACTGACACTTTGTTTAGATCAAGTGCAATTGTGTCATAATGTTGTAAAAAGCATGTATGTTACCATTTAATTAAACAGAATATACATGTACTCTGTATTGTATAAGATAGCATGTGTATTTTTCTCTCAACAATAACAGGAACTGACATAAGTCTATAGAAAACTGATTAAAAGATGATTGAAAAATCTCATCTCTGAATAAGTCATTATTCTGTTAATCTTTTTTATGTCACCTTCCAAGGTCTAAAGGGTTTAGTGTTTTTGAACCTCCTGGTGTAGCAGGCATCAAAATCTCATTTTTTTGCACCTAAGGCCATGTTGATTTGATTACTAGTGTATGGATGACATCCTCCGGGAACCCCAAAACTGATGCGCGCGTGCGAATAAAAAAAAAGTTTTGCAAAAAAAAAGTTGTTTTCATTATGAAATCTACGTGGTCATGAGGGTTGAACAAATGGGACAGAATATGGTTTGGCGAATAATCTAGTCTTCAAGTTCATTTCTTTACAATTTCGTCTTTTTTCATTTGATTTTGGCATTCTGCGACATATTGGTATAGTTTTTTTTTTTGTAACTTACGGTATATTTTTGCTCATTTTGCAACTGTTTTGTACGATTTACAGTATGGTTGAAAACTTTTTTTTTTTGGAAACGGTCGAAAATTAATGCGCGCGCGGATGTCATCCATATAATCAAATCAACATGGCCTAATGACAAACTTTCCTCATTCAAAATCCTTAGCTCTTACTTAACACTATATCCTTGTCAAATCGTCCTGACCTGTTTCCCTTTTATGAAATGTGTAAGCTTTGTGGAGAGGAGAAGAAAAATCCAACTTGGTATAGACCTTGCTTGAAGGATGCCTTCTATCCTTGCTTTATTAGATTTCATTTTTGGATTCCTCAAAAATTGTTCTTGGGCCTACTAAAATCCAATAATGCCATGCTAGTTGTTAGTGTTATATGTAATGGCAAAACATTATAAAGTTGGCATTCTAGTAACAGTTACTAGTACATTTTGTACTTGAGTATATATCTGCAGTGGTATAACCATGGAGGTAGAAAAAAGCCCTCCATGGTATAACTAGTGCCTGATTGCGTCATCACAATCGGCAGGTCTTTGAACTTGTTTGACCCCGCGACCTTTACCCCACTATAAACATCCAATATGGCGTCTGCTCGGCGAGGTCGATCGGGTTCCTCCGAAAATAGGAGCTCTCTGCACAACATGCTGTCTTCCATCAAGAGAGAAAGGAGCCGAGTCTCGAGGGGAGACACCGCGGAAGGTACGGTTTGAATTTCCGTGCGATATCTGTAGTTTTCTCGCAGAAAATGCGGTTTTCTTGAAGTTGGTGGTTGGCAGATTTTCTTGGCTGCAGGCCGCTTGCCACTTCCAGTGTTCACACTTTGTTGTGGCGTCGCTTTGTTATTGAAATCTTGGAAAGGGAGTTAGAGGGGGAAGTGGACAAAAGGAGAGGCACAGAACCCCGCTGGGGAGTCAAAGCTCCGCTGAGCAGCCATACAGATGTTATTGTTGGTTAGGAGCAAAAGAATTTCAATTAGGCTGGCCGAGGCTTTCACATTCTGATGAATAGTGCCCCTCCCCCTTCTCGCATTGTCGCAAATTTCAACCCAAAACAAAGAATATTCATACCCCACTTTGAAGGCAAACAAGCGTCTTATCCCAGTACGAAGAACTCAAGAAAGGTTATTTCCTTCGATGTGGTACGCCGTAAAAGGTGTCAGATGTTTAAATGCATGTAAAAGGAGAACATTTGAAGAGGCGTGAATAATCTGTAGACAAACGACAAAAGGCGGTGGATAATTTGAGGCGGTGGGGGTCCGGGAGACGCTTGCCGCTCACGGCTGGAGACCGGGGAGGCAATGCTTAATTAACTGGACACAGCCCGATACTGCTGGAATGAAGAAAGGACAGAATACAAAAGCTTTAGTGTCCCTTTTCTAAAATAATTCGAAGGAGTAAAATATCAGAATATTAACCCGCAAATAATCTACACACATAAATATCACTGATGTAAACTTGTACACAAAATCTTCTTAAGGAATAGTGGGATACCGTTATCCTATTTTTGTTCTGGGATCATGTGCAAATCAAGCTCAATACCGTCCTCGTAAATTAGTCACATAGAATTTAAAGTAGCCTCAAAGTGGCTGCCTAATAGTAATAATAAAACAGCAGAGAGACAGTAGTCTCCAAGCGGATCTTTCAGTGGCAGTCGTATACCGACTAGACAGTATCCAAATTTTAGGCAAGGCATTGTCCATACATGCAGTGCGTAAAATTCATTTGTTTCTGCTAATGGATCGTATGTATTTTGGCAAATTCGTATGTTTCCTTGTAGCAAGCTTTCCTTTTGAACCTCCTTGCTTGTAGTTGTAGTGGATCACATGTATTTCGTAAAATTCGTATGAAGTCTAGAAAATTCATATGAATCCCGTAAAAAAATTCTTTGGCACCCCTGGTGTAAGTATTCTGATTCTGAATTAAAGCTGTAAAAGATTGACCCTACTAGAACTCAGTTCTAATCCATTTCAATCTGTGCACCAGAAGGTTTTGTAGTGCTGGCCATCAACACGTTCTGGACGAAGGTGTTCTCGGAGTACCTGGTGGACAGTGGGTCTGATGACCTGAGGGACGACATGCTCTTCTTCATCAGGAAAATTTCACATGCCAGGGACCAGCAACCTGTGGTAGGTGATGCCAGACTCAGTTTCAGAGTCCCAGGCCTACACAGTACACATGCTAGCTCCTTGCCTTAGGGCCAACATGCCCCATGAACATTTTAGCAAGGGTCTAGGACCCAATTTATGCACGGGCAAAAACCTTACGGTACGAAAACTGCATAATTATGTACATGAGCATACGAAAACTACATCTGGAATTCAATCTGAACCTACGTTCATGACATACGTCAAAGCAGCCCATTTACATGCAGAGGAAAAAATTGATATATGCAGTCTTCGCAGTTGGGTCAAACAGGAGTAAAATTTCATTTGGGGGAATGTTGGCTATAGAGCCCAGGAGTTGGCCTGTGCAGGCCCTAGAAACAGCCTGGCATCCATGCTGTGTTTTTCAGTTTCAGTTTATTGAGATATCCTTTAGCCCATTATGGGCTATTCTTCCAGGGTTCTAATACAAATACATGTAACATCACAATTACGGACACAATCCTACATACTTACAGCATAAATCATTTAAAAACAGAGGAGTTACACGTCGCATAAAAAACCTTAACTGTTTACATGGCAATCGTTAAAAAAAATATAAATTCTGTCTGACTTTTATGAATTGCACCACCCTGTTGGTAAAGTATTTGACATGGGAGATGGACTTTACATCAGATTCTGTAGGTAGAGAATTCCAGAGTTTCACGGCCCTGTACACAAACATCCTTTTCCCACTGTTACTCCTGGGTTGTTTTGATGTTAGATACGAGGTACACAAGAATCTTGCACTGTTTCTTCATGGTCACTAAAAGCACAAATTAAGTCCTCTTGCATCATTCCTTTTCTCTTACAGACTGAGGTAGATGTGTACAGAAGGGACTCCAAAAGGCTGCCTTGTCCAGGAGACCCCAGTATAGACTGGGAGGAGACAGTGTACCTCAACCTTATATTACAACAGGTAATATATAATCACTCTTTACATAGATGCTAAGTTGCCCATCTGTTCATCTACAATCAAAATCATATTTTTTTAACAATGTGTCGTTCTGCCTTCTATGCAATTTAACCTTTTTCTGATCACCACAGTTTGAATATCAACTGACATGTGCAGTATGTACCAAGGAAGGGAAGGAACTCACAGTGCACAAAAGATACTCCTCTGTAAGTACACCTCTTTTTGTTACAGCTTGTTCTAGCATGGAACCCTACTGAACATTTTACCTGGATTCCATTGCTATGAGGGGAAATTTAATGTGTGTACAATATACTTACAAATAAAAGGCTTATGTGATTGATGTGTTAGGAAAGTGTTGTATTTTTCGACCTTGCTAATTTTGATGTCTTTTTTGTTCTTTATTCTCCAGAGAGTGTATGCTTCTCCCAACAAACACAGAATGGACAGGAAGGACACAGAGTCAGAGGTCTCCTACCCAAACATCTTCTTCATGATTGATAATTTTGACGAGGTGAGAAGACAATTATCTATAACACTCTGTCAAACACAGTAACCGTTGACCATATATGTAGCATTATGATAGACTCATACCAACTAGTAACTTTATTATTTGCCATACATTGTACCCGTGGCAATCATTGTGCAATAAACTTTGACTTGACTTGTATCATTAATTCAAATGTGTGGGGATTTTACAGTTACATTTTACTGTACATTATTTCAGGGACTGACTATGCTTCTCGGAGACAATGAAAAAAAAGTATGTTATATGAAAAACCAACTATCTTTCTTAGGGACTAACAAGTTGTTACCCATTGTAATGATATCACAGAATAGAAAAGAATGGTTGGATCTGAGGGACCAACTATGTTTTTATGACACACAGAAAAACAGTTGTATTGAGACATTGTTGTGACATTTTTCTAAGACACTGATCATTGTTGTTTCAGGTGTTTGGAGACATCTCAGTTCAGGAAGGAGAGATGGTGTGTGTGGAGCTCCTGGCTCGCTACAGACAAGACTCCTTCCAGAGTGTCATCTTCCTGGGCTCCATCAGATATGAGGCACTTAAGAAAGTCTATGATGGGCGGGTCAGTATTGAGTATAATGTTGAAAGAAAACTATTTGTTTATCAGCCTTTTCCCTGCTGCCTAACCCTGTAACCAATACAAATTCAATGCAAAAAGGCTACTTAGATTATGAATAAGACCTCAGACAAGCATAGCTCTCTGTCAGACCTTAGTGTCATGTAGTCAAAAGGTATAACAGTTTTGCCCAGATTTGCCAGTTAAATTGTCTAAGGTATTCACAGGTACTATTTTTTTAGAACAATGTCAGAAAGAAAATGCTTCACTTCTTGGCTGTTTCTGAAATTACAAAAAACTGATGATAATCCATGTAATGATGATACAAACAAAAAGTACAAAATGTAAAGTAAATTACTCCACCACCCCACCCCACCCTCCAGGCCAGTGTGACCAGTAAGATGGCCCAGCGGATGTCGCTGGGACTGTACCACGGGAAGGAGAGGGTGGAGTTTGTCCGTATGAAGGGTCCGCAGGGGAAGGGTTACGCAGAGATGGCGGTCAGCAGGCTGACTGACGGGATGACCACCAGCAGGAGTGAGGATGACTTGAGATTCAGCAGGGTCAGTATCAGACATGTGTACTATACAGGCTTCTCACCAGAAATTTTCCAGTGTATAGGGGTCAGGTACTGTAATTCTTGTCTGGACTGTTTAGGCCACAGCAAGTAAATTTTATGGATGACATCATCCACAGACTCCAAATCTAATGCGAAGGTTCAACTTTTGACACCATAAACCTTGTTAAACAAGAGATGATACCTATATTGTGCTGTTTACTGCCAACTATTACAACAACCAATTGTCATTGAAAAACAAAAGTTTTAAATCATTGCACAAATTGTTTTGTTTGCAGTGAACATCGCATATAAAAGGAATGAAATGCATCACTGCATCAAAGTAAAAGACAAAAGCGTTAATTGAATCAGAGCCTTGTCTTGTCTCCTCGCTTCATATTTATGTGCCATCCACGTTCTCGCATAGCAACAGAGCTCTTTGGCCATTTTCAGCACGTTGACCACTGTCAGAAGACAAAAAATTTTTTTTCTCCAAAATAAGGCAAAAATTAATGCGCACATCGCTGATGTCATCCATAAAAATTACTTGCTGTGGCCTTGATAAAAAGATATGTGACATTTGCCTACAGGAGTCCAGAAGACAAGGCAGGAACACCAATGGTGCCATGAGCCACTCCCACAGTCAGCCGACTGACATGAAGAAGTCAACATCCCTGAATGAGCGAGCAGACTTTGATAGAATACAGGGAAGGGACAGGAGACAAGGTACACAGGGCTTAAATACAGTCATGTTTTATCATTTGAGCATTTGTAACATTTTTAGAAATCGTCTCCAAAATTGTCAAAGCGCAAGGACTTGCTACATTGTAAACAGTGAATCATGATTTTGTGAGAGATGATTTTAGAGTGTATAGAAATGCACTCTGTATTTCATACCTATTGTTACTCACAGTTTTAGTAGGACTTTGAATGATGTAAACTTTATCTAGTTGATATATTTTGTCTGACCCATACCTCTTCCTTCATGACCTCAATGAAAAGCGGCTTGTATGCTGGATTTGAGCTTTCCGAATAATAGAGTGGTTGGTTCAAACAAACAAAATGGTCTGTTCAAAGTATGTGATGTTTTTTCTGTTTTTTTTTTCACAAATGTATAGGTACTGTACTACATTTATGTCACTTATTTGTCCTAGAAAGATTTTTTTGTAGATTATTTGACCATGTATGTTGAATTACCGATACCATTTGTCCACAGGCTCTAAAGATGGGTCCAGTCGGGGTTCGGCCAGGTTAGGTGGAGCCTTCAGCTGGCTGAAGGGAAGACAGCGCTCCTCTGGTGGAGTCTTTGTTCTCAATGCCCACCTGACGTACGTTACCTTACCCTGGCAGAGAATCATCGCAGGTGAGAATTTTTGACATTTTTGTCACTGTCCTTGGTGCTGAATGGTTTTGTTTCAGTGGTTATGTTGGAATCCTTATTATGGGTTCACCACACCACGAAGTGGTGTGGTGAAACCATATTGCTTTTTTATGGGTTCACCACACCACGAAGTGGTGTGGTGAAACCATATTGCTTTTTCTGATGTTTCTTCTTCTCCTTCTCCTCCTCCTCCTCCTGCCATATCTTTAAATGGATTCAGCTTCTTCATTTTAGGGCCTAAGGTCCTGAAATTTGGTATGGAGGTACAGTGGGCAAATACCCCTAGGCGTTTTTTAAATTATTGTGATACAGGCTTTTAGAATGGTTTTATTTGAGTTTTTTGGCTGTGTAATAGCTAATGTATTACTGTGTAAGTGTGCAGTGTTTACCACATTTGGACATGAGTCATCACAATGGCATGCAAGGCATCAACCAATAGGCATGCAGCTTTCCTCTATTCTCCTTGCTGATTGGCTGTTGGGATTTAACTGGCTTAACACCTGCACAGAAGCATTTCCATACTGACAGTATGTCTGTATTCAAGTGTTTTGGTAGGTATTTCAAGCTTTCCTGCTCCAGCATTGGAATGCCGGGCATGGACGTTTTTTTTTATTTTTGAAAATCAACAGTTTGCATTATGCAATTAAAATCTACATAACCAATAAAGTAGGGAATAGCTATCCAACTGTTGTTTTAGCTTGTATTTTACTTCATATTATAGTTATATCAATGTAAAGCATTGTTTTCCCTTGTGTTTCTCATTCTTTCCCTGCCATGTGGTAAAATGTGGTGAACCCATCGCTATATTTGCTCCAAAGCAAATATTGGCCTTTCTAGTCTGATGTTTCTTCTCCTCCTCCTTCTCCTCCTCCTCCTCCTGCCATATCTTTAAATGGATTCAGCTTCTTCATTTTAGGGCCTAAGGTCCTGAAATTTGGTATGGAGGTACAGTGGGCAAATACCCCTAGGCGTTTTTTAAATTATTGTGATACAGGCTTTTAGAATGGTTTTATTTGAGTTTTTTGGCTGTGTTATAGCAAATGTATTACTGTGTTAGTCTGCCTTGTTTACCACGTTTGGGCATGAGTCATCAGAATGGAATGCAGGGCATCAACCAATAGGCATGCAGCTTTCCTCTATACTTCTTGCTGATTGGCTGTTGGGATTTAACTTGATTAACACCTGCACAGAAGCATTTCCATACTGACAGTATGTCTGTATTCAAGTGTTTTGGTAGGTATTTCAAGCTTTCCTGCTCCAGCATTGGAATGCCGGGCATGGACGTTTTTTTTTTATTTTGAAAATCAACAGTTTGCATTATGCAATTAAAAATCCTAACCAATAAAGTAGGGAATAGCTATCCAACTGTTGTTTTAGTTGTATTTTACTTCATATTATAGTTATATCAATGTAAATCATTGTTTTCCCTTGTGTTTCCCATTCTTTCCCTGCCATGTCGTAAAATGTGGTGAACCCATCGCTGTATTTGCTCCAAAGCAAATATTGGCCTTTCTAGTTATGTTTACCCTTGCAGAAGGAGAACATATTGTTTTTGCTCTGTTTCTACTTCTTCCACTTTTTCTTCTCCAAACAAATAAGGTCAATGACCAGGACCAGACGTCTGTCACCATGGTAACTGGTGTTGGGCTACGTAATGTTGCAAGTGCCATGCAGAACTGAGTTCAAGAGGGGCTGCATAGTCATAACATAAGAAGTTCCTGTGCTAATGTGAGTGTATTACTAAGTAGTAGGCATATATTTATAACATGAACTGTATTTATCATTTCAGACATTCTGGAAAACCGCCAGCCTCCAGTTCTGTCCACATAGGTCTGATTCTTGCCTGTCTGATGCACTTGTCAAGCAACTCCTGAAGGACGACCCTATAGGACAGTAGGTTGTACAGTAGAGGGTAATCGACTGACCTCAGGTAATGCAACATCCAGCCATGTTTAATTGTTGAGGAAACGAAGTAGCAAACTGGCTTGAGACCAAAACCCTCCCAATGTCACCTGTTTGCATAGATTGTGTCAGAAAAACAGATCGTAAACAATATCTGTATTATATCATGCCTGAGAGGCTTGGGATAGAGCCAGGTCTTTGGTACCTTTTTTCTTTTTTATAATATACATAGTCATTAAGAATGTACAGTGAACTAATCAGCAATGATACAATGATAATTGTATGCCTTTATCTTGTATGCATGTATACAGAAGTTGCCTGTAGAAATGCTATAGCTAACCTGTAAAAGCTATTTTAGGGCTGTTGTTTTTCCAATTATTTTAGTACTGTGGCTTCGAATATTTTGCCATTTGAGTCAGATATTGGAACTGTTTCATTTTGGAGCCTCAGTTTTTGACCTTTTTAAGGCATGAATGTAAGATATGGCATTTCTCGCAGTAATGTTGTACAGCAAAAGCCAACTGAAGTGTTTGGCAATTATGTCATGTAAATTTAGCATGATCGTAGGTGTGAAATTTACCTACGATATTTGTAAACACGAAACTCTGTAGTTTCTGAAGTGCCAAATGTAGTTGTTGTCACGTAATACCTGATGTTCAAATGCAATCTTAGGTCAGGGTCAAGAACCTTACTCAATGTCATGAGTCAAGGAAATTATTTTTGTAGGAAACTTAATTTTTGTTGTAATGTCCTTCTAAGGATTACCTTTCTTGTCTTCCGTTGTCTTCATCAAGTTTTATTTATTTGTCAAGTTTATGATAAATAGCCAAAATCTAGTTCTAGATGCAGTCCATGATACATAATATCCTCAGGCACATTTTGTCTTTTCTGCTAGAGTGTTGAAAATTCCACTTACCATGCATATCAGGGCAATGTAGTGGGTAGACATTTACACTGTATATTGTGATAGTATTGTAGCGATACAATACATTGTAATAGTATTGTAGCAGGCACCAAGTAGTCCACACTTGGATTTGTAGTATATTTCAAGCCGTGAATGCCTCATTTTGTAAATGAAACAGTGTAGGAAACTCTTCAAACACTGCACACTTTTTTGAACAGCAAAATAAGTGATAATGGTGCATGTAGCATTGGTCTTCAAGGAAACCTCAAGGAAGCTTGAAGTACCGGAAATTTCTTTATTCATATTAAATGGGTTCTTCCAGTATGGTCTTAATTTTTAACTGCTAACTTAATCATGTATTCCAGTGTTACATGAAATATGTCGTCAAATTGTGGCAATATGAACTGTCAAAAGGGAAACCAATCAGTTGTATGGTACCTTTACTTAAAAACTTTGCTATTAACTTTAAGGTATTGCTTTTAACTGGCTCTATAGCAAATGTTAGTGATAGCAAATGTATATCATTATGATACAAGTATGTCTTCCTGCACCAGTATGTACTTACAGTACATATCTGTCGAAATAATTGTGGAAATCAGTGATAATTACCATAAGGTGCCTATATTAAGTTTTCCAATGTTATAAATGTGGACTGGAGAAATCCTTTAGCAAATGGCATTGTCAAAGCTGTAATTATTAAATATTTATAACATACACCAACATGTTTTTGTCATTATCATAATACCTTTGTATATCTTTTTAACATCACTTCTCTTAATGACAGAATAATTTAAATTGCAACAAATTCAAATCTAAGGCCACACCAATTTAATTTCTTGGTTAACGGATTTTTCTAGAAAAAAAATGGAGCGGGCGGGCGAAATAAAAATAAAAATAAAAATTTGAGACCACCTGCCATACAGCCATGTAGTAAGCAATCTATTAAGTTAAATTACAAAATGATATAAGACATTATATTAGACACTTATTGAACTGAAAGGACCATTACTAACATGTACATGAGCAACTTCTCTTACATCCCTTTACAATTATTCGTATTATTTTGCAAGATACACATCTTTACTGTATGAACAACAAACTGTCAGTTGACAAGACTCCCATCCAACTGGTTTCACTTTTATTCATCTTTCAAAGTTCCAAAGAGTGGTTTGAATCAGGGTGCTCTGTTCAGATCCCATTGTTTTCTTACAGTTCAGGGCAGTGTCACAGCTTACCACTGGGCTGGGCATTCTATTGTGTCTGGCTGATATGGAAGTTATTTAGAGCTTGAAATTTACAATATCCTAAATATATGCTTTAGACAAATTTCCAGGAACGTGTAAAAGTTATTGGCAAAAGAATTAACTACTTTTACAGATATTTTATTTCTTTTTTTATCTTTTCCCAATTCCCAAATACTACCGGTAGGATACATTTTATATTTCCCATTATACACTTTAGGTATGCTACAGCTACATTATACATAGCCATCATTCAAACAAATAGCCACATTGACACACTCTTCAAGTTGCCACAAATTCAATGGTCTAGGGTTTCACTATAGAGTCTTTGATGCATGGGGATTTTTATTTGTAGGGGGAACCATTTTATTAAAAAATTAGATGTAATAATTGATGAATTATTTGCAATTGTACTCCTGTTTATAGGTATCTAAATGAGATGTAACTTTGTTAGAATGCCACATGCACATGTAGTATTTTTCACAGAGTAATTTCTATAATTAAAAGAAACTGTTTCCCCCTACTCGAAGTGGACTCTTCCGACCGTGACAAAGTTGCTTTAGTGAATGGACTTACATGTACGTGCATGGAGGACTTTTTACTTTGCCAAATTCCCATGTTTGTGGTAGGATTTTGTACTTTTTAAGAGTAATACAGTTTTTGATGCCAGAATACATTGTTATGTCGTGTTGTTTTTACATATTCCCTGGAAAAAAGATCGTTTTGAAGGTGTGTGTGCATGTGCCGCCCAGGCCGAGTTTATACGTTCGGCCCGTTACTAGCACATGTTTCCGACACAATACGTGTTTCTAAATGAAATATAATATATATCTAAAAGGGAGATGATATGTTGTTACAGGCACATGACTTAGTAAATCTACCGTACGTTTGACTGTCGTCAGTGAAGTTTTGTCCCATGAATGGTGACATGTGCAAAGGGGGTGGGGGGCGAGTTCTATATCAAAAGAATTTTTTTTGACGAACTTTTGAAGAGGCAACCTAGCTTTCCGAACAAATTGCACTCAGAAAAATGTTTCTGCCTTGAAGCAATGTATTTTTAACGCTGTTAACTATGCCCAAATTTTGAAAAATTACAACGTACGGGGTGGATTTTGGGGCCCCAATTCGGGACCCGAGAGTATGGATTTTTGTTCTGTTTTTATTTTTATTTCATTTTGGCAAAAAAACGAAGCGGCGAATCCGTTAACCAAGGAAATAAATTGGTGTGGCCTAATCAGGACCAACATTACACTTCTGTTTAACAACTGGGAACGTTTATCATGAAGTTACTTGGTAAAACTCATTATGAAGCAAGATTAAAGAGTAATTTTCAGCATAAGAAATTTATTGGACTTACTTTTTGACCATGCAACTCCAGTTTTTGTCCAGGAATAAGCAATTGGTGACATCATGTTATACAGATGGCACACGTGATTCTTTGAGCAGTCATGTAGGTTTCAGAAAGTCTACATCAGGGCATTTCAATTTGAAATGCCCTGATGTAGACTTTCTGAAACCTACATGACTGACTCAATCATCACTCAACAAAGACGGGGGGTGCCACAGACTTTCTGCAACATATGATGCTTAACAAGTCGTGTGCCATCTGCATAACATGACATCACAGAAGCGGTGGAGTTCTCATTTCTTGTGTTGAAAATTTCAGTTTAATCTTGCTTCATAACTAGGAACACTAATGAATAAAAGTCTAACAGTCTGCGAAGTTGAAGAGATTGTTGTTTGAGTGTGGAATCATAGATCATCATCATCCAGGTCCCTGGAGTCTTCCTCACACTCCAGACTGTGACTGGTGTTGGACAGGTCCATCTCAGACGGCTCAGGTCCCATGGACTTCTCCAGGCTGAACAGACTCTGTGGGGGTTACAAGTCAGGGATGTCAGGGATTAAACAAGCTAGGCATCTGACGTGCATGATTGACCTACATTATGGGGAGGGTTAAAGTTCTCATGACACCGAAATATGACCTTCAGCCTAGGAAAAAAGTAGCTGAGTTTCCTGTTTCCCGTACCGACCCTACGAAAAAACTTTTTTGGGGGTGGACCCCTGGTAAGATCTAAGAGACATAAGTTTTTGGAGCTGACACCTTTTGATCCGACACCTAAGTAATGAAACATTGTATGTATATACTACTGTAATTCACTTTATGTTCACTGTAGCAAAATTTCACGGTCTGAGAAAAATGGGGATGTTCACTGTACTATACATTCATGGTGGTGACAGGTGCAGGAAAAAGAAGGTTCAGGAATTACCTGTTGACTTAAATGATAAGTTCACGGTACAGAAGTGACAGTGAAAACAGTGAACATAAAAGTACAGTGAACAAATCAGGAATTACAGTATCAGTTTTCCAACATTAACATGAGTTATTCAACTTATATAAATACAGTTTAAAAACTGTATTTATATAAGTTGAATAACTAGATCGCCAAAATCTAATGAAAAAAGAAAATCCCTAACTACCTACCCTAATTTTTTCAACACAAAATAGTTTCCTAGGCCTACCCCTACCAAAACTTTGTGTTTTCTTATTTTCAAACATATTTAGAGGTAAGCAGATAGCAATTCAGCACCAAGGGCAAACCAATAGATAAGAAGTTTTAGCCTAGGCCTAAGCCACACTGACCTCCTCAGGAGACCAGAACTCCCCGTAACTGTCCCTGTCTGTGAGTGTGTCACAGGGAGAACCTAGATCAGGTACAACCTGGTGGGAGTCAGGAGTGGTGGGAGGGTGGGGCAGGAACCCTGAGCTCAGGAGGGACTGGTAGGTCGGGCTACTCAGGAAGTCCTC